AAATTTGGTGTAAAACGAGGCAGAATCGTTGGGAAAATTCAGAAAAATTGTCTGCAAGATTTACGCATAATTAAGTGCACTCAAAAGGTGGCCGCACAATACACTCCTTCTTTGAGGCACTGGAAAAAATTATACTAACCATATTACATACAAAAATAAAATATTTTTAAAGAATTTTAGAGAATTTTCAAAAAGCATAAACACAAAAATTATTAAATAAAAAAGCATATAAAAGTATGTAACAATTTATTTCTTTTAAAGAAAGAAGCTAATTTTTTCTGCATACTTTTAGAAAACTTTAAAAGTGATTTTACAAAATATACTCATGTTAATTCTACAAATAATTAAAAATAAATATTTTTTAAAGTCCAGGTAGTTTGTTTAAGTTTTTTTCTCACTGCATATTCGAGTTATGCAGCACCAAAAAACCTTAACAGAACAGGGACAAGAATACACATTTACATAATGCTCTTTGGAGGGCAGAGGATTTATGTGTGGCACTTGAGTGCCGCAAATTAATTCAAATGAAATGCGTCCAGAACTTAATCCTCTGGTCCATTGTTGTCCTCGATGTCCTGGATTGCCCAGGACATCAGCCCCTTTTTCAGGACGACTAATTTGGTGCAATTGCGACACCTAGGAATCGCTTTCTCTTCTTTGATTTGCGCTAATCGCAAAAGTGTCAGCGACCAGGAGAACTTGATGTTTGCCTCGTTTCCGCATTTAATCACCCCCCTGGAAAAAAGGGACTTTTTTTCGATGGCCGAAAGAGCCCGAAAGACCCAGATCCCGAGATGACAGAAATCAGAGCAAAACTAATTTCCCGTTAATGAGGGTCGCTCGTCGCTGCTTTCTTCATTTTCTTGGGTTCCCTTTTTTTTGTTCATGATTAAGAATTTTTTCCCATTTACCCACACATGCGCCTCATTAATAATTTTTTCGCCACTCGCTGCCAGGATCGAGATTAATTTACGCCTCGAAAGGATCTGACGTGTGCCTGTCAGTCGGAAATGTCTCTCTTTTTCGGATCAGCGCCTTCTTTTATCTTCGTAATAATATTGGGAAATGGACGGGGAAATCCTGAATTGCGTGTTCCTTATTTTTGGGCGGAGAAGCTCCGCTGAGGCGTCAAATTGTTATTAATTGAAAGTCAAAAGTTTGCCTGTGCCTGTTTTAATTGGATTGTTCGCTTATCTATGCAAGAATTAATTAATGAAAAATGAGCAGCGGAATGACATATAATTTATTCAATGTGGTCAGGAAAATAAAACAGAAACAGATTTTCTAGAGAAAGAAAAATAAAATATATTCCTAAATTTCAAGTGTTTTCATTTTTATTTGTATTAAATAAAAAAAGGGGATTATATTTTTAAGGTCTGGCATTTTTGAGTTAAAAGTAAAATCTTTGTTCATACTTTTATACTTCTGCACTTTATTTTATTATCCATTTAACAACCTCTTTGCGCAATAAAAATCACTTTTACTGCCAATCAGCTTGTTTAAAGCTCATCGACTACAGCTGAAATTTCCCTAATTATTTTAATGTTAAATGATTTTTTATCTTTTTCCACTTTTGCGTTTTGTTTTTCCCACAATTCAATTTCGCCTTCCCTTCATATTCATATGTGAAATTCTTTTGTGAATTGAGTTTTCACTTTTTAGAGTTTTTACCGCCTATCATTGGTATTCGTAATAAAAAAATCCTGAGCCCATGAGGTCATCCAGTGGTGACGCATTCAATTGAGAACTCAACTGAACACCTCCCCATAGCCATTCATATTCATAATCCTGAATGGAATTTTTTGGCACTGTGTCCTATCTGTCTATCCTCACGCGATCTGATCTAAAAGGATCTCATTGGGAGGCAGTCGCCTGGAAGCTGACAACAATTGAATTGATTTTATTGCCTCGGGAAAGTTATGCGCTGACAGGACTTTGGTTCAGTGGAGGGGCATAATGTCCCGGGTTCAGGATACACACAATAAAAAATGCCTACATATCTATGCCAAACAATTTCATTTCGTTTGTCCTGAAAAGGCACCCAAAAGCACTGCCATTGTTGTTGGACTGTTTATTAAATTGTTGGTCCAAAAAGGGTGAGATATTCCAGAAGGGGGGTCCACCTTTGTTAATCGTCAAGCTGACAATAAATCTTGGCCATGCCAGGGAATCCCAATTGCGTATGCGATGTGTATGTGTAATTCCCGACTTGACATTTTCCATGAACACTCGCACATTTATTTTCGCCATAGACAAAGGCTGCGGATTGAAGGGCAAGGGTTCGGGGGAAAATATTTCATAAATTGAATTGTTTTGCATTGTTGTCGCCCGAAGAGTGCTGCTCTTACTTCCAATTGCTCGACAAAACCAAATAAAAAGCATCCAATATGAGTTCTCGAGGGCAGACATGTGTCCACATATATGTTTTTGTGTATCTTTGTGATTTATAACGCGCCTAGAAAACGGTTTGTTTATTTTGGTATATTTACATTGTACAACTTGTATTTAAAATATTTTCGAATACGTTCATATTTTAAAAGATGAAGTCAAAATTCGCAAAGATTTCCAAAAAGTGCCTTTTAAAAACTGAATGAATTAAACAAATTTCATTTATTTGCTTTAGAAACGGAAATAAGAAATATATAATAAGTCAAGTTTTTAAGTATCTTTAACAATTATAAAGTTTATATCATTTTAGCAAAAGCTAGATTTCTAGTCATTAAAGACATTCCAAATGACTGTAAACTGTCCGTCTGATAAGATATTTCCATTAAGCCTACTGTAATTAAAATTATTGTTAGTGGTGCAATCTAAATAAGTTTTTATTTTTTGTATACCTGCTATGACAAGCTTTGTACCACCAACCAGCTGAAGAAGCATTAGCACAATAATCAAGGAATACGTCATTGTCTTATCAAATGTGGTGAATTTCATTCCTTCGTGGTATCTTAAGGATTCTGGGGCAACTTTTCCAATCCGATGAAAAAGTCTTCTCTTAAGTTTTTTTTATAATCCATCCAGTTTCGATTAAAGTTCTCTGAGCCGTAGTGAGTAGTTGACTTAAGTTTTAATAGAGTTAAGTGTATTTTACAGGAAATAGTCTTACATCTTTAGCTGTCTGGGAAATCCTATAAAATTATGCCTCACACCGATTATGGCATTTTAAATATGATAAATTGCCGCACAGAGCGCTCGAATGAAATTGTTGGGATGAAAGTGAAACCACAGTTTATTTTGTGGAGTGGATAAGATGGGTGGCCCGAAACAACACAATTTCTAACTGCTTTTGACACTTTAAAAGGCGGATTGAATTTAAATCTGTTGATTGCGCTTGGGTAGTGCGAATAATGGTTATATTGAGCCATAAAAGAAATTAAGTCAAACATTATTCTTGGCTGAGCACTCGATGGCACCCCATCTGTGTGTAATTTATTTTAGAACAACTTTCACCACCTTTGAACTTGGTGGGCAAATATTATTGATACATCGCCGGCTCCTCAATGGTTTGTAAACGATTTCTGGAGAGGATTTTGCTCTCCTAGCAGGGGGCCACATACTTATTTCACTTACTCCACAGCTACAACGCATATTACACTTTTTAGCAACAGATTTTTGAGTGCCGTTCGAGGGGCTTACGCATGATTTTCCGGGATTTGCTTTATGAAATTTTACAATTTTACAATCTGCGCAACGGGAGGGCAACCCAGGCCCAATGAGGAAATTACACAACGAGTCTACTTCGCTTTTTTAATGTAATTTCAAAATGATTATTACTGCGAGGGGGTGGCGCGGAAATCAATGCATAAATTACAAAAAATACAGCCGGCAGACAAAAGCTGATCTTTATTGTTATTCAAATCATTTGGCAGCTGCCACGGCTCCAACGTTGGATTTTGGACTTTAGAATTGAGAAGCGCCGAGCACGCTGATGATAATGATTGACTGGCAGACAATCCCGTTCTAATCTGTCAATAATTCAGACCATGTGCTCTGGCTTTTAGCGCCTGTGAGCCCGAGGCGTCAAATTTTTGGCATCCCAAGCTGTCGATTTCCCAGGCGAGTTGGCCTAATCCGATGGAGATGCCGTGTAATTGGGCCGCGCGACATCGGAAGTGCCTTTAAAATTGATTTGGATGCGGTTTTTAAATTTCAGCTTCAGGCAGTTTTATTTGATAACAAAAAATTCCATTCAAAATATAAAAAAAAATATTTCGTCGAATGGTTTATTATCAAGTTGAAATTCTTCATTTTGGTTTTTAGTAAAAATAAATATTTAGACAGCTTTAATCTTTCAACATTTAAATTATTATTTTTTGGAAATTAGTAACATTTTGACAAAATTGTTAAATATTTTTTAGACAACAGTTTATTGATAAATAAGAACAATTTAATTCTTTAAATGAAAACGTTATACTTTAAACGTTGACCTATTTTATTTTGTTTATCTAATTTCGAAAAACTCATTAATTTTAAATAACGTTTTCTTTTCTTAATATTCATTTGATTGCAAAGAGAATATTCCAATTTAATTACCCCCACTCCGAGTGTTTTCCTTTCGCGAAACTTGTGAATCATTTCCACAAGGAGCTCCGATAATTTAATGTAAACTTTGCGGTCACGTGGCGCGACCTCCGCTCTCATGTAAGTAAATCAAAGCAAATTACCAGCCGAACACACAAAATACGAAATACAAAACACAACATGCAACACACACATGGGCCAAGGGCAACTCTCACCCATTTTAACGAACTCAACCCAAAGAACTCCGCCCTGAAAAAGGTTCACAAGTGTTTTGACATCTAAACGCGTTTTGTGCCCGAAATGACCACCAACAAGGTCGATGGCCCAAGGGAGCCCTTACACTTGTGCCCTCATCTCCTGATCCCGATCCCGAGAATCTCCCGGAAAACTGTGGGAAAACAGGAAAAGCCCAGCCCACCCTGGGAAAGTGTAATCAACCCAAGGAACACCATAACCATAGACACATATGCACATGTAAATTACGGGGATGTAAGCTAGTTTATTTCTAAATGTGATTGCAAATAAATAAGTGTTTATAATTAAGCAGGTTATCCTGGGAGCATCCTTTGATGGAACTTTCATCCTCTGGCGGTGGCTGCCACATTGGCCGCTTGTTGCGCAATTCCCAGACCCTGAATGGTGGCATCCCGAGTGTGCTGGCCAATGCGTTCCTTTAAAAATAATTTAAATTTAATTTAGAAATATTAAAACATTTTAATATTTGTTTTTAGCAATACTTACAATTCTTTTGCCCAATTTCTTCAGCCAACCGGCTTCAGATTGCCCCAAACTAATAGCCAGGATGAGGGCAACAAACACGAAGATCTTGTTGAAGTTCATTTTGAAATTATTAGATTTAATTCCTGGATTTTAAAAAGGAGTTTTGCTGTCGATATAGCTGTTGCTGTGGGAACTAAGCGACTGATGACTGGACCTCTGGCATAGGCAGCTTTTATAGCAAAGACAGCGATTCCGATAAGGTGACAACAGGGGATTTTTATTCGCCACGAGAAGAGAAAGACTGCAGTGGATCCCCTTTCTGTATGAGAGTCTTCGATTATCTGTTTGTCCAGCTGCTAATTAGAATAGAGCTTTCCCAGGCATACAATTTTAAACTGTATACTCATTTATATAGTTAACCGTCATTGAATTCAATTCATTTAATTTGTATTTGAAAAACGAAATAATTTAGGGGAGAGTGGGGGAATTTCGTCACAGGGGCAATTTCGTCACCTGCAATATCTCGGAATCCATAAGTCTTAAAAATATATAATTTTTTTGTTTTAGTCCTTCAAGACGGCCAGAAACAACCAATGCATTTGTTTTGCACAGAAGGCCAAGATAATTAAGCTATAATATTAAATGTGTTTTAACAGTTCAAAAGCTACATTTAGTTCTCGACGAAATTTTTTCTGTATGCCACAATTCAAAAGGAATAAGATACACGATTTTTTATATAATACACAGTGCTATAATGTGCATTTCTGCGTCAGTGATTTTTAACTTCGCGCCTAATTTCGCAAGAAAAATAATTATTTCTAAAAAAGTACGGTCTGGGGAAATTTCGCCACCCTACGCTAAGGGTAAATTCGCACCTATTTTAAATACATATTTTTATATTTGACGAGCTGGCTAACGAACAGACTACCAGCAGCAGCAACAAATATAGGACGTCAACAAAAATGGTACGCTCGATCAGTGTAACATACTTACAGGCGTAAAGTTCCCTACATTTTTCAGGTGACGAAATTTCCCCAGTTGTGTGGTGATTTTACCCCCCTGGGGGGTGAGATTGCCCCAGTATATTGGTTTTACATTTTATTTTTTTATAAATCACCAAGCTAATTAAAAAAATAGGGGAATGTCACATTTTAAAGCTTGGTGCTAACCGCATTCAACAATAAAAATAGAAATATGATAACGTGTCTCAAGATGGACAAAAAATAGCTTTGAAAAAATGCTGACGAAATTCCCCCACTCTCCCCTACTGCATTTGTTTCGATATTATTTATATTACATTTTATTTCAAGAGCTTAACCATTTTGTGTAAAAAATTTTAAAACACTTGTATGTTTGGCGATAAATTTATGTACATTTTAAAATTTACGCATCTTACAAAATGTTAATCTAGAAATCGAAACGCTGGATTAATCCACCATAAACACACTCACGCAACTGTACTTGAATTTGAAGAGGGGGATGGCCCGGGATGTAGGCTTTCACATTGGCACATAATATCAACCACCACGAAAATGTAACTTTAATTTCAACCATAAAAAACCAACAACGAGGGGCAGACAATAGACTCGCAGCAAAGACAACAAATGAATTAAATCAGCAGGGGAGGGTATGTATGGTTAGATATTTTGTGGGGTAGAGAGGTGACTAAGAATAGAGCATCTCGGATGGGAAGCTCCGAGCAGGATGATGGGCGCCCTGTCAGGATATGCCACTAATTTCCTTAACAAGTAAAAACGCTTTATCCATCTTGGGCCTTGACTCCGCCGCTTCCTTTCCGAACTCGATGTTGCTCCTTTCCGGTTCCATGGCCTTTGCGAAATGTAAATAAAATCGCTCGAATTAACCGCTGAGTGACAGCTACAAGTGGCAGACGGAGACACAAAAGCAGAGGCAGCCTTCTCAGCAGTTCTGTGTCATAACCACCAGGACCAAGTCCTCATCCATATCCTCATCCTCCGGAGTATCTAGTTGGTAGAGCCCACAGCAGCGGAAGTAAGTCAGTAAATGCCGCAACTGGTTCCGAAGGATGGCTCAACTACTCAAACTGGAGGCAGGCATTTTCAGATGACAACTGACTTAAATGATATTAAGGTGAGGAAAAAGGTTTGGGAGGTGAGTTTCTAATAGTTATGCGTTGGAATTTATACAGGGGAAAAAAGGGATTTTGCATTCGGAACAGATAAATAAAATGACTTACTTTTAAACACAAACAACAAAATTTGTATGTCGAAATTTGAGGTGATTTAATAAAAAATTATTTTATGTTAATTTTATAATATAATGTAATATATAATTTAGTTTTATTTATTTAAATTTTTTTTAAGAACATGTGAATAAAGTACCTTATATTTTTAATTACAAACTTTAAAATTAGGTGTTTAGTTTAAAAGTTAAAGCTGTTAATTTTATTCTATGCCATTTTGTGCGTTTGTTATAGTTAAATTAAAATAGGTGGCTTAAACAACGCATATTATTTAATTTAAAAAATAGCTTATACCTGCTTTACCTATAGCTGAATTTGATTTTATTAATGGTTAATTTTAGTTATAATAAATAAATAAAAAAATAAATAGAAAATAACTAAGCCCATTAATATTTACTAGTTATTTTATAATATTCGTCAGAATCAAAACAAACAAAGTCTCGCGAATGACTCAGTTAATCTTCAGTGACCGTATAAGCAGGCATCCCCGGAATCTAAATTCCCATTTCAGTTCAGTAAAGATTACCAGTCCACCTGGAGACAATGGCTGTGTCAATGTTTGAGCATCTTGGCCTTGCCTTCTTGATAGGGAAATAATCAGCAGATTTTGTCGGGGGAACTTTTTCCCGGGGACTCACATTGAAGAAGACAGCGGAACTTAAATTGATAAACGAGAGTCTTGCTGATAAAGAACAACGACATCAATATAGCCAGAAGGAAGCCAAGAGTAAGCTCAATTACAGGTGTGCCCCCTTACCTTTAAGTCTTTATTATTCAGTTGAATCATAATACTAAAGCGTCATGAAAGAAATCGGATCTACTTGGGTTGTGTGTTCCCACTGAGCTTAGAATTCTCTGTGCTTTTTGATGGGCAGAGAAATCACCCGCGCAAAATTCCATTCATAAAACTCATTCATAGTAAAAAATCTGTTACCCATTAGGAGGGGTATTTACTCGGGGTATATTTTATTGCAAATATTACATACGAAAAGTCTTTATAAACCAGTTTATTAGGCAGAGAAAAGATAAGGGTCTTTACTCACAGGAGACATTCTTCTAATAGTCATCCGGTATCTGAAAGTTTTCAACATCTGTTGACTAAGATACCTTCAAGTCATTAATTAAGTCTAGTTCGAGGTATCGCGTATGTGTCAGTAGATCGCAGTAGATCCAACTCAATTCTACGATCGTTCAACCCATTGAGTAATCGTCAGTTGTTGTTTTTTGTTTAGCTTTTTTTATGCGTTCTGTTGTGGGGAAGCCAATGAAACGTGTTTGCTGATTAATCCATTTCGCTTGTCGCTCGAATGTTTGGCGTTATTTCCCGTACTTTTTCTATACCACAGTTTTTTGTTCCACAATTAATGGAATTTATTAGGCTTTGAGTGGGCAATAAAGGGAATATTTATTTGGATTGTGGTAAAAGCAATTTAAAAAGCTATGTTGATTCAGGGGATTTCTTATGTTCAGGAAATAGCTGATTTTTAAAAGTATAGTTGCTATGCCGTGCGAATATACGAACATATATAACATTTAGTTGAAATTTGACGAAAGGAGATTTCTGGTACTTCCTTAAATTAAGGCTTCAAAAACAAAGATTTTCTAAAAATTTATATTATTATTTCTAGAACTTAGATTATTACTGCATAAAAATCGCAAGTTATTGAACCTGCTGATAAGCCTGCTGCATTGTGCACTATGCGACTGATAACCGGGTTTTAAATATAGAAATTTTATAGCAAAAATAAGCAAGACAGCTTCACCATCGAAAGATGATGATAAGGTGCCAAAGGGGATTTTTTCTGGGAAAAGATGCATGAAGAGTAATAAAAATGGGAGGCTTGTCTTTTGGGAACAATTAAATGGGGATGTACTCTTTTTTAAAAGAAAATTGAAGAAACAAAATTATAAATAAAACAAAAACAAATTTTTGAGTTTAAGAAAAATTACACAAATTTAAACCTAAACATTTTATGTCAGTAAGAATGTTCCATTACCAAAAGAACTATTAATAAACGCCGACTGTTACAATAAAGAACAAATTAAAATTGCACCGACAGTTTTGAATCAGAAACGATTTGCAATAATAACGTAAAACTACTTACAAAACAGACGTCGAAAATTGGTCTCAGATATTCAGACACCTACCGAATTAGACTTAGTATTAAAATCAACGTACCACGGAGCAGACGTGTAAAATAATTTATATTCGAAAACTTTTTGGCTTTATATATTAACGGACCATTTCCAAAAGGTGTGTTTAAAATTAATGCGGTTTTTGTGATTTTATTTAATTTATTTAACCAAACATCTTTCGGCTATTTAATATTGCAACACAATTCATAATCGATCACAAAATCTCAAATTCCTTTCCAGAGAGTCATAAATTTATTGGCCGTTGCGATCTGGGTCCATCTTGAAAACTTTTGTCCCAGTAAAAAAATCCCCGTTTGTGCAGTCGCAGCATCTCTTGTCTTCGCTATATAAGATCAATCACTTCGATTTCCAGTCATCAGTCTCTCAGTTCTTACTGCAACAGCATCAGCTTTCTTTCAATCCGGTATTAAACCAGCAATCTCATCATGAACTTTAACAAGATCTTCGTCTTCGTGGCCGTCATCCTGGCAATCAGCTTGGGAAATTCCGAGGCTGGCTGGCTTAGGAAGCTGGGGAAGAAAATTGTAAGGACTTTTATTAAAGCTTCTAAAATTATATACTTATTCAGTTTTTTTTTTTTAGGAACGCATTGGCCAACATACTCGAGATGCCACCATTCAGGTCATCGGAATTGCTCAGCAAGCCGCCAATGTGGCAGCCACCGCTCGAGGTTGATATCAAATCGTGGAAATAATCATCCCGCCATTTAGCCTGCCTGTTAATCTAATTTAAAATTAAAACTATAATTAACCAAACCAAAATTAATGTATGTCAATGTCAAGAAAAGTCTATATTTAAAGAAATAAAAACATAAAAAAACAAATAAATGCGTAAAAAAACTATTTTAGTACAAACATGACAAAAGGTGATAACGTTTTCATCTGATGCAATATTCCCGACCCATGTATTTCGGTAAATCATCGCATGCTTATCACAATCAAAACACGCGACGCTGTTCTTAAAATAGAATAACAAAATCTGGGAATTTCCTAGATAATTCATATTACTGTTATTTGGTAGAGCACCCAAATTCTATTTTAATTTTTAATAATTTAAATATTTGTTGTTTAGCTTACATGAGTAGGTTTTTGTATTTAATAAAAAAGCATATTTTATTAGTATTGACTCTGCCGTCGAGACCCACATCTATAGTTTATAAGATGCACTGATAACAAAAGGTCGGTTCCTTTACAAACCGAACCCCTTTTCCTGGGTCACAATTTTGATTTGAATAATTCTGAATGACAAAAAGTAAAAGAGTCATTTTTTAACTATTATATATTACACGTAAAAAAAGTTTCAAAAATGTGAAAAAATATTTTTGGCCAAATCTGTTCGGTCTGGAAAAGAACGGCTTAAAAACTAAAATATCTTTTATCAAATTTTATGAAAAATATGTTTAAGGACTAGCCGAAAGTCACAGCAGCTATGACTATCATTTCTTACGGTAGCTTAATTTTGGAAAATAAACCTACCCTGATCAAATAAATAATTATTATGGACTATTTGACTGAATTGAACGGTATTATTTTTTATTTTGAAGGACATAACTTTTTTTCGCTTATATTTACATGGTCATTTTTAAATAAATAAATAAGATCAAAGTAAAAGTTTAAAGGATTACAAATTTTATCCTCTAGCGGTGGCGGCAACATTGGCGGCCTGTTGAGCGATTCCCAGTCCCTGGATTGTGGCATCCCGAGTGTGCTGGCCAACTCGTTCCTGTTGGTAAGGATTGGCATAAATATTGAAATGAATATAACCAAAAACAAAGGACTTACAAGTTTCTTGCCAATTTTCTTCAGCCAGCCAGCCTCCGACTGTCCCAAGCTGATTGTCAGGATGAGGGCGACGAAGATGAAGATTTTGTAGAAGTTCATGGTTTGTTTATTTAATTTTTGATATTGCTGTTGCTGTGAGAACTGAGCGACTGATGATTGCATCCGGAATGGCGAGAGCTTTTATAGGAAAATAGGTTCCTGATAAGACCTAAAGGGGATTTTTATTGCGGAAAAGTACACGAGAGGGAATCCAATCAGATCGCTATCACTTTGGGGAACTGGAACTGATTTACAGAATCCAAATCAGATTTAGGGGATTTTCATACTTTTGCAAAAAATTGGTTGACTCAAATCGGAATTTACCATTCAGATATATGCTGTGAAAACCGTATTATATCTAAAAATAAAGCCATCTAACTTAAGATTACTATTCACAACAAAAATAAATGTACCACCAAAATTAATTTTTTGTGGTTTAACTAACAAATTTAATTTAGCTTTCGCTTCGTTTTTCAATATTTTGTGCATAATATTATGACTCTGAAGTTAACCTTTTTGACCTCTGGCTGTAGCTGCAACATCAGCGGCTTTCTGTCCGACTTCAATAACCTGAAGGGTGGCGTTTTTAATGTATCGAAATGTGTCCTCCTGTGGTAAGGAATCTCAATTAAATTCTCTAAATACGTAATTTAGAAGAAAAATAACTTACCGTTTTTTCTTTAACGTCGTGCAATATATTAACACCACCTTGGCCCAAGCTTTTAGTTTTTTCCCTAATTGTCTGTAAAAAATTAGCCTCAGATTTACCCAAGTAAAAGCCCATTATTAGGACGGCGAAGATTATGATCCTAATAAAGTTCATTTTTAGTTTATTTTATTGCTTAGCTAAAGCCAAGTACTGAACGACTGTTAAAGTAGAAGGAAAAGTCCAGCCTTTTATAGCGACCGAACCGGACAGCCTAACAAAAGCCACAGATAAGGCAAAATCTTGGATTTTCCCAATTGAAAAAAGTAGGCACGAGGCATCAAATTTGTTTGGCAAGAGGTCGGCCAGCTAAACTAAATCAATTGTTTGTGCCCAAAATGTATGTTTATTTTGGTATGGTGATACCAGAAGCATTCAAGTTTCAAGTGATGCTGATAAGGTTGATAAGAAATGTAAGAGAGAGAAATAAGCTAAAAAGTAATTTTTGGAATTAAAAAATTAGCACTGAAGCCTTTTTAAAATTATTTCTTCTAAATATTTTTAAAGTTTGGATTGTTTTAGCGACTCTTTTATTTTATAGGTTTTTTAGCAGTGGCTTAAAGGAAAATACCAGATATTTATTTAACTCTTGTTTTATTTACTTAGGACCATAGAATAAATAGGAATTTTAAATTTAAATAGCAGTGTAGTGTATCATCGTAGTTAACCTCGGGCAGTCGCTGCTACATTGGCGGCCTGTTGAGCGATTCCCAGACCTTGGATTGTGGCATCTCGGGTGTGTTGGCCAACGCGCTCCTATAAAAATTATTTTAAAATTTAGTATACATTTACAAATATTATAGGATGTAGTACTTACAAGTTTCTTGCCAATTTTCTTCAGCCAGCCAGCTTCCGATTGTCCCAAGCTGATGGCCAAGATTAGGGCGACGAAAACGAAGATCTTGTTGAAGTTCATGGTGATTTAATTTCGAGTAAGAAAAAAGTAGCTATTTCCTCTGATATTGCTGATGCAGCGAGAGCTGAGCGACTGATGATTGCAACAGGAAAGTCGAGCGCTTTTATAGGCGAAACGTTTTAAAGTCGCTGCCTGATAAGGTCTAAAAGGGGATTTTTATTGCGGAAAAAGTACACCGGAGGAATCCAAGCCGATCGAAATCACCCTGAGCATTTGAAATGCAGAACCGAAATCGGATTTGGGGGGTTTTTATATTTTGATTGACATTGTTTTTGGGGTGTCCCATAATTCAAGAAGAAATAAATTTATTATTAAAATTCATCAAATAGGGAAAAAAATATATAAGTTTGCCTTAAAAAATGTTTATTTCGGTTTATTTCCTTTCAGATGCAAAAGATTTCCAGATGAATAAACCAATGATCCTGAAAAAGAATTCCCTATGTCAAACCAAAATGTTTGGTGATTTCGGTTACATTTAAGATATAGTATACAGTTTTGTTTATTATAAACCTCTAGCTGTAATTGCGACATTGGCGGCTTTTACGCCGACTTCAGCTACCTGCATGGTTACATTTAGAGTGTATAGACCAACGTCCTTCTGCAAAAAGAAATTTTTGTTTGAACCAACAAAAATTAAGTATTCAAAATATTAAAAACCTACAAAAGCTTTTCCCAGACTCTGTGTCCAGCCAGCTTCCGAATGTCCCAAGGTAATAGCCAGAATGAGGATGGCCAAAACGTAGATAGTTTTGAAGTTCATTTTTGTTTTTAATCTAGTTTTTAGACTGAGCAACATACGACTGCTAATTGAAATGGGAAGACAAGTCTTTTTATAGGCGAACGGGCGTTTACATATACAGATAGGGCCAAAGCTTGGATTTTCCCAGTTGAAAAAGGTGGGAAGAGAAATCACATTTTTTTGGGAGAAAAATTTGTCTCTGCTAAACCAAATCAAATGTTTTCGATCTTTGAATTTTGTATTTATTTCGGCATGCCAGCTCAAAGTAAAGCTGATAAGGTGTTTAAGAGAATTGGGGTTTTGTAAGAGCGTTTGTTAAATTATTTTGAAACCGCTTTGATTTATTTATGTTTTTTTTTTTTATATCTGTATTTTATATATTTTTTAAAAGACAACAAAGGCTATTTTTTCCGATATTTTATTTACTTAGAACCATAGAATAAATAAGTATTTTAGTTTAAATTTATCAGCGACAGTTAATCATCGTGGTTAGCCTCGGGCAGTGGCTGCTACATTGGCGGCCTGTTGAGCTATTCCCAGACCCTGGATTGTGGCATCTCGGGTGTGTTGACCAACGCGCTCCTATTAAAATTATTTTAAAATGTAGTAATAATTTACAAATATTATAGGATGTAGTTCTTACAAGTTTCTTGCCAATTTTCTTCAGCCAGCCAGCTTCCGACTGTCCCAAGCTGATGGCCAGAATGAGGGCGACGAAAACAAAGATCTTGTTGAAGTTCATGGTGAGATTTACTGGATAATTCCTTGGCGGAGGAGAGTTGTAAAGATCTTAATATTGCAGTGAGCTGTGAGCAACTGATGGCTGTAACAGAAAAGGCGTTAGCTTTTATAGGCGAACGAATAGCTTGAAACGCAATGACAGATAAGGCATGCACGGGGATTTTTCGCAGAAAAAGTACACAAAGGGAACCATTCCGATTCGAATCAGTATGGACATCTGAGGCTACAATCGGGGACTTTAATATTTTAATCTTAGATTTTTTCCCCTTACTATCAAATCCAAACATTTGTTTACCAATTTGTCTGAAATAAGGATATACAAAAAAAAAACAATTAAAATTGTAAGAGTGAAAGAAAGGAAAAAAAAACTTTAAAAAACTTTAGGATTAATCCACTTTAAATTTTTGAGAAAGTTACCCAAAAAAAGGCGGTTCCAGTGCACACTTTTTGAATACCCCTTTTCGCTTCACTTTTCACGAGTGGGAAGGTTAATCTCCAAATCCACCATGAATCCGCGCATAAGCAATACACTGGTCGGCATAATTATTTTGAAAAATTTGAAAGTTAAATCTACTCATATTTTGAACTTATAATATAAATTTTTGGCACCTATAGAAAGACCACTCCAATTCCGTTTAAATGACACAAAAATATTCTTAACCCATTAAGCACCCTTTAAAAAGTTCGAAAATTTTATGAAAGTCAAATTTTAAACTTTTTTCCTGGGGCTTAAACCAAAAAGGTTTGATGCAAAGTTTTTCCCCAAGCAAAATTAATAATAACTGCAACATAAATTTCAAAATCTCTTTCCTAGTATTTTTTATGCTGCTTATGTAGTTTAATTAATTAATTATAAATATTTATAATGAAAATTTTCAAAAGGTAATCACTTTGGATCAAAATAATTTTTTATTTGAATTATATTTTTTTTTTCGATTTTTCCACTTAAGCCATTGTTATAAATAGCCTTATTGCAATAAATTTTATTGGGTCTGGACTTAAAGGGCTGGACTTAAAAATAAACGAGAACGGAAAGACGGACATGGCTATATCAACTCCCCTGGTCAAGAATATACAAGTGTGAAACGTCTCGGAAACGTCTCCTTCACTGCGTTACAAACTTTTAATCTAAATTATAATAACTTCTCAAGGGTATACAAAATAAAAAATATTGCTAAAGTTATAACGGATTATTTATTTACTTAGAAGAATACATTTCATTTAAAATAAATTAGGTATCTTATAGATGATTCATCCTCTGGCAGTAGCTGCAACATTAGCAGCCTGTTGAGCGATTCCAATACCTTGGATTGTGGCATCCCGAGTGTGTTGACCCACGCGTTCCTATGCAAATATTTATAAATTAATTTATAGATCAAAATAATTCTATTGGGACAACTTACAATTTTCTTGCCGATTTTCTTCAGCCAGCCACCCTCCGATTGTCCCAAACTGATGGCCAAGATAAGGGCGACGAAAACAAAGATCTTGTAGAAGTTCATGGCGAAATTACTTGATTAATCCTCGATCTGAAGAAGGCGAAAGTTGTGGATGCTGCTGAGAGATTCGAGTGACTGATGACTGACTTTCAAAAGGTGTCGGCTTTTATAGGCGAACCGATCGCTGAAAAGCGCTGCCGATAAGGTTTCCAAGGGGAATTTTTTCTTGGCGAAAAAGTACACAAGCCAGTTGGATTCAGATTGAATGTATAAAAATGTGTAGGTATATTTAAAAAGAAGAATAATACAAATTTTGAATCAGTAAAATCCTTTAGAACAATTCCATTTAAGTTGTTTTCTATATTTTTTAATTAATATATTTCTATATTAATTTAAAGATTTCAATCTGTGAAACACAAATATTTATTTGCTTTTTTGGGGAATTACAACCATATTTAAACTGAAGTCATATTTCTAAAACTTTATGGCTAGAAAACAGTGATAAATTAAAACTTTACACATTTAGCATTTGATGCATTAGCATTAGTAGAAACTGATCCCAGAGTGTAATTTTTTTTTTAGGACGACTGACATTTGGAATCATGTTAAAGGGAAGTTATGAACAATTCAAGAAAAAATACGTGATTCTACATATTTGATGACTTGCACTATAATATTCATAGACATATTTTTAAGGAGAAACGTCATGAAACGATAACAACTAAATTTTTTAAGGGGCACGTACAAATTACACGTGTTTCTAAGTTGACACCGGAACTGAATACAACAATAAGTCTTTACGAATGTCACCATTCACGTTTCTGGTGGAAATTTTAGCTGGTTAAATAAACTTGTGAAATTGTAAAAAGGTGTTGCAAATAAGTTTAAAGTTTTTCCATTTATTTACTTCAAACAATAGATATTTTGAAAGTAATAAGTTTTTAAAGTAGATCCCTGTTTTTAATCGATGGTGGCACTGGCATTTTTCTCTGCTTCCAGCAAAAGTTTCCTTATTTCATCCTGAAAATATTTGTAATTCATTTATAATTAATATAAAAGTATTCTTTTCTAAAGGCACAACAAACCAATGTTGGTATTTTTCCATGAAATTCGGAATTCGATTGTCCCAGATGGCTGATGGCCAAAATGAGGGCGACGACAAAAAAGATCGAAAAGTAATTCATAATTATATTTAGCGTGTACTTTGCGGACTAATGAGCACTGATCGACTGATAAATTAGTCTGAAAAGGCACAAGCTTTTATAGGCAAAAATACATAAAAAAAAGCCTAATGAATATTTATATACATATTTATACCCTTGTTTTTACATTTTAAGGGACTTGCAAGCATTTTATGCAGGAGCATATTTTTACCTGTAATACCAAAACCATTTAAAATAAAATAAAACTCACAAAAAATGTTTTTATAGACATTCATATCCTGAAAATGAAATATAATTAAAACCAGTTGTAATTCCAGGAAATCTAAAATCCAATTTTATGAGTAAACAAAATTATAATTCTCTAATCTCGAAATCCATGGAAAATGGTCAAATAAGAACGAAGTTAACAATTTATTCGATAACTTTAAACAATGCATTTATTGGAAAGTAATAAGTTACGTAAGTTGTACCCATTTATCATGCGATATGGCTCTTCATGATAGCGTCTCTCACAGAATCCTTGACAACTTTTCCTATTTTCGCCTGTAAAAATACAAATACGTTCAGTTCATGCAAAATATTTTTGTAATGGTACAACAAACCGCTTTTTTTATTTTTCCAAGAACGTCTTTGGCATGTGGAAGATTTTGACCTTCCGACATTTGACTGATGGTCAAAATAAGGGCCACGAAGAAGAAAATCGAAAAGTAATTCATATTTATATTGGTGGATTTTACAAAAGTTAATTTGGCGGACTAATGAGCTCTGTGAGACTGATGATAAAGTCTAAAACGACCAAAGCTTTTAAAGGCAAAAATACATAAAAAACGTATGCTTAATAAATATTAATAAGGAAACTTTAAAATTATATATATTTATGTACTTGTTTTTACATTTCATGGAACTTGCCACCATTTTATGCACAAGCATATTTCTTTCCAGGAATAACCACAAAACGGTAATAAACAAAAACGGTTCAGAAATCACGTACGAATTTTAAATAAAATATTTGATCCCAAAGAATACCAATGTTTATAAAATTTATCAAGAAGATATCGAAACTGACTACAAGAGATATTTAATTTTTTGTATCTCTATAGTTGTTAAAGAAAGAAAAGAAAATTATTGCAAAAATTTGGTTAAAAATACATTTACAAAACTAGAAAGAAAAACAAGGCAGAACGCTATAGTCGAGTGTCTCGACTATTAGATACCTTTTATCCAGCTAACCAACTTTAAAACAAGAATTAATGCGGATGGAAGTGATATAACTATTTTTTAGGTTAAGCGATAGGTATCGAAGAAACAAATACATTTTCTCACGGACAGACAGACGGACATGTCTATGTCTAGTCGGCTAGCGATCCTGATCAAGAATATATATACTTTATAGGTCTGAAACGCTTTATTCTACCTGTTACATACTTTTCCCCGAATACAATATACCCTATTTTATACCTCTATTTTTCTGCTGACCTTGAAAATAATGTAGGTAAAGCTTGTTTAATTATTTACTATAAACAATACATTTATTGGAAAGTGATCAGTTATTACAATGGTACTTTTTGTTCATTATTGCTTGGCAATGGCTTTTTCGATGGGCTTAGCCAATTCAAAAGCTATTTTTGCCAACTTGTGCGCGAGTTCCTCCTGTAAAAATAGAAAGATATTTACTTCTTAATCAATATATTTTTTAAAGGAGACGAAAGGGGACCAACCAGTTGTTGAACTGGTCCAATTATAAAAGCCTCCGATTGTCCCAAGCTGATGACCAACATGAGGCTGAAGATAGTGAAGATCAAAAAGTAATTCATAATTATATTTTTGACTTTTCCGAAAGTTTGTATTTGTGGACTAATGAGAACTGGGCGACTGATGCCGCAGTCTAAAAGAGCAGCAGCTTTTATAGGCAAATGTCCAACACAAAACGTCGCAAATAATAAGCAGGCCTAACAATTAGTTTTAGGGAACTTGCAATCATTTTATGCATTCGAGGAATAACCACAAAACACTAAAAAGTATAAACCCTTAAAAAAAAAAAGGGAAAAGGTCTGTAAGTTGCGACAGTCAACTTTCTCAGAACTTTTACACTAAAATTATTTATTTTCTTTTTTTTCGAATTAGTTTTAGGAAAAACCATAAGAGACAGGCACAGGCCATATTTAAGCTTTGACAGTCGTCTTCTTTTGTTAAATAGAAAATCTTTAACGTGCTTAAAAATCATTGGTTGAAGGTTTTAATCAGAAGTTATTAAGCTACTAATCTTAATTTTACGGTCGGAAAAAAAATATATTTTTCTACACACTTTTTGCAAGTTTGGAGACCCTTATAACCTCCTCAAACTCGTCTATCAAGAATATATAAACTTTATAGCAGTTATCAAACAGTTATTTGAGATTTTTATTAACGGTTCCTGCTTTATACGCTCTGAAATGCCTCCTTCATAGAAACTTATCAATGAAACCATAATACCCTCTGCACGGCAAAATGGTTCGGCGATTATAACCTACCCAAATTTATAACCTTTAAAAACGATTAATACATTGTATCTTGGCGCCAAATTTCGATTGATGTATATCGATTTCAATGCTTCATCTGGCGCCACCTGTGTGCTACATAGCGCAACAACAGCGAGGGCGCACACCTTCCTACCATGGACGCATACCCAGCAGGCTAATCGAAAAATATCGATAATACACTGTAAAATATTTTAAGGTTCTATTATAGAACTTCTATGCAACTTTAGACTTTTTTGTACTTGTTTTTACGTTTAAAAGAACTTACAAAAGTGAGCATATACAATAAAATATTAAAATAAGTATAGAGTTTAAAAATAACTAAATTTATTTACTTCGAACAATACATTTATTGAAAATAATAAGTTATAAGAGGTCGGTCAGTGCTGTTCCGTTTTGTTCTCGCTTAAGTGGAAGTTGTTCACCGATGATCTAACAAAATTACCGATGGGATTAACTACCATAAATGCCGTTTGTGCTGCTTTGTGGGCTAGTTCCTCCTTAAAAAATAGAAATATGTGTACATTATATTAGAATATTTTTTACAAATAGATGAATTCGCTACCAACCAGTGTTTTAAAAAAATCAACAACAATAGTATCCGATTGTCCCTGATGAACAATGGACAAAATGAGGACAACGACGATAAAAACCGAACAGTAATTCATAATTATATTTAGCGGGCTTTTCAAATGTTAATTGTGCGGACTTATAAGAGCTGAGCGACTGATGACTTAGTTCAAAAAGACAACAGTTTTTATAGGAAAAAAAACGCCATAAAACGTTTCGAATAATAAGTAGACTTAATAAGTATTAACAACGAAACCAAATACCTATTATTTAAGCATTGTATGCAAATTTTTTCATGGAAACCCCATAATGTTATAATTATTGGATACCGTTTAAAAAGCTCGTTTGAATTTTAAATAATGTATAAATTTTATGTTTTTCAAATACATATGTATGTGTTCTTTAAGGCTCCACCAGACTGGGAGCTAGCTAGCAACAATCAAACAAACAACAATCAAAACATGTAGTCCGTTTGGGAAAACTATAAAAAAACTAACATTTTGTGGAGAAATGGTTTGAAATTAAATTTGAGAGATATTAATAAAGCAATAAAAGAAACTGTATATGTCTAAAAACAAAAGCTAAAATGCCGGAAGATATACACTGAAAGATACTCAAACATACTGTTGCGGTCAAAATAGCAGTAGACGAGCCGCCCTTCGTTTTTACAGGTTTGTTGTTGTAATTTATCTTCTGATAATATTTCATTTATTATAGTTGTACTATTGAACTAATTGAATAAAGTTGAGAACAATCGTACTATACTTTTGAACTTTTTTCTTAACTTTAACTTTTTTTCTCAAAGAGTAATTGAAATTTCCCATTACATATATCAGTTTTCTGATGATTCTTACCCGTCATCAAGATTTTTGTTTGGGAAAACTTTAAAATAAAAGTCAATTTAATTTATTTATTTCGAACCATACATTTACTGGAAAGTTATAGCTTATTAAGGTATCACATTGTTGTCATTTGACTTACTGGTAACAGCCTTAGCCAAACCCAAACCAAACCCACTAGTTGATTTCCTGGTAACAGCATTAATTGGTTGGAAATCATTCCCAAACCCACTAGTTGATTTCCTGGCAACAGCATTAGCTGGTTGGAGAACATGCCCCCCAAACCCACAAGTTGATTTCCTGGCAACAGCATTAGCTGGTTGGAGAACATGCCCCCCAAACCCACTAGTTGATTTCCTGGCAACAGCATTAGCTGGTTGGAGAACATGTCCCCCAAACCCACTAGTTGATTTCCTGGTAACAGCATTAGGTGGTTGGAAACCCTTCCCAAACCCAGAATAGTATGTCCATCCAGGTACCTTCTTCTGTAAAAATATTACAATATATACTTTCGATCATAATAGTCTTTAGAAAGAGAAAACTCACTACCTTATCACTTATTTCCTGATCAATATTATCCGATTGTCCTTGGTGGCTGATGCCCAAAATGAGGGCGACGGCGATTAAAGCCGAAAAGTAATTCATAATTGTATGACTGGGTTTTTTCAAACATTAATTGTTGGGACTAATAGCGGCTGAGCTGAGCTGAGCTACTGATGACTTAGTCTAAAAAGGCCAAACTTTTTACAGTCAAAATAACGACAAAAAACGTTGCGAATAATAAGTTGGATTTATAAATATTTAAAAATATTACAGTTTAAAGGTATTGTGCTGATTTTTACCCGCCATAAAGATTAATGTTCGGGAAAGCATTTTGTAAGCAACCAAATTAAACAATCCACCCATAAAAACTTCAAAATAAAAATCAATTTAATTTATTTATATCGAACCATACATTTACTGGAAAGTTATAGCTTATTAAAGTATAACATTGTTATCGATTGACTTCGTGGCTCATAACAGCATTAGCTGGTTGGATACGCATAGGGAAAATACTTCCATCCAGGTACTTTCCACTGTAAAAATAGAACAATATTTATTTTCGATCATAATAGTTTTTAGAAAGAGACAACTCACCACCTTATCACTTATTTCCTGATCAATATCATCCGATTGAACTTGGTGGCTGATGCCCAAAATGAGGGCGACAACAACTAAAACCGAAAAGTAATTCATAATTGTATTGCTGGGTTTTTCAAAATTTTATTGTTGGGACTGAGCTGAGCGACTGATGACTCAGTCCAAAAAGGCAAAAGTTTTTATAAGCAAAAACAACGCCAAAGAACGTTGCGAATAATAAGTAGGCTTAATAAATATTGACAACCTATACATTTTAAGAACTTTAATTATTTTTTGCATGCGCATATTTCTTTCATGGAAAAACGATAAAGATATAATGAATATAAACCGTTTCAAAACACGTCTGAATTGTAAATTGTGTATTTATATGCTGTTCAATGTGTTGTCTCAATGTGCTGTCTCAAAAGCTTTAAAATAATTTCAATTCGAATATTTTGAAATTTTGGATTAAGGATTTATGCCAAAAACAGGTCCTGAAATGGGCGAATTTTTTGTCCAGCTTATATTGTAAACTAAGGAACGCCAAACGATTTTATTACTAGCTAAATTCTGTATGGATTTCCACATCTAGACAATTTGTTACTCAAAACACTGATTTACTGAAAAAAGATTTGGATAATTGTTTAATCTTGGTCAAAAAATATAAAATACCGTTTTTTATCGTATTATTAAGTATAGAGTAAACTACAAACAACTTTTTAGGTTTTAGAAAAGTTTCGCAAAAGTTAATCGAAGATGGAGATTACAGATCTCCGTTTTGTGACTAACCAAATAAAAGGATACCCAAATCTCCAAATCAAAAGAACATCTAAAAACCAAATGTTAAAAGAGGCCCAACCCATTTTATTTATTTCCTTTGAATTACAAATTTATTGAAAATTAAATTAAATTAAACACTATTTGCCGTGGTTGGTAATAGCGTTAGCGGTGGTCTTAGCGGCTTTAATTCCCATTTGTGCGGCTTTGTGGGCTAGTTCCTCCTATTAAAAAGGAAAACCTTTATTTGTAATATTTATAAAATTTTTGCAATGAGACAACTCACCAGTTTTTCAAAGAAGTTAATAAGCACTGTATCCGATTGTGCTTGGTGGCTAATGGCCAAAATGAGGACAACCACAATGAAGATAGAAATGTAATTCATAATTATATTTATGGTTGAAGATTAATTTTCTGGAGTAACAAGCACTGTTTGACTGATGAATTAATCTAAGGAGGCCACAGCTTTTATAGGCAAAAAATCGCAAAAAAAAAAACGTTGCCAATAATAATTAGGCTTAATAAATAGGCACGTACGATTTTCGAATTATGTATGAATGTGTTTAACTTGACAGAGAGTTAGCGCACCATGGGCCAAATACCGGAATCTCGAATGACACAATAAAAACTAATAATTTATTAATTAACAAACTCTTTTGAAAAGCATTAAACTGAGCTAAATTCTACAATATGGCCATCATCAGTTTGCTGAATACCCTGCATGTCTTGTTTTTGGTATATTTCGACACAAAAATTGGTATTAATAGTATATTTTTCAGACTTTTACGGTATTTTTAGTTAATTTTCTGCGGTCTCTCTTACTTTTCCTGTCAAAACAGCAGTGTTGCCAATTTTGCTATTTTCCTAGCTTTTTTAAATTGCTATTTTTGAGCTGTGGTGCAAAATAGCGGCTAGCGAGAATTTTAGCTATTCTCCAAGCAAAATCAAAGAAACTCTGCAATTTATTATAAGAACAGTGCACTATGGGTAATTTGACCACTTTTTGTGGCATTAATTAATAACTTAAAAACGACCCAATAATTAACAATTCGGTTTTTTGATTTTACTATATTAAATTTAAAGGAATTTTTGTTGAAAAAATAGGCGTGGTCCCGCCTTTTTTTAAAGAAAAAACATTTTTTTCTCCTAAACGTGAAGAAAAAAAAATATTTTTTAATTTATTTTAGTAATAACAACGTATTTAATTTTTAAAAAAATATCAACGTTTTTCATTTTTGTATTTTTGAATTGCAATTTTATTTTTATAATTATTACCATTATAATTTCTAACAAAAATACTGTTAACCTTTATAACAAAGTTATTGCAATGAAACAATGATGAAACATAATTTTGAAATAATGAATATTTAACAACAAAGATAGTTGCATACCGGTTTTGCAAAGATTGCACCGTAACTGACATTCACGATACAAAAATACGTGAAATATTCATGTTTTGACGGAGGTCTTAAAACATTTATTTCAGAGAAAGTGCGCAAAAGTGCACTTTTATACTTACTGAGTTTAAAGAGAATCAAGTACTCGACAAGATAAAAAAGGTTTCAGAGCTGGAAAGAGCTGGACTCATTTTGTAGCTCCATTTAAAAATAAAAATTCAATACCAATTTTAATGTTTTTTGAAGTTAGATTTTACCCAAGATTTTAGAAACACCACAATCAATAAATACATCGGAACGCTAACAAAAAAAAGTTACATGATTTTGTGATTGAACTGCATTTCAAAAAAGGCGCTGCGTTGCTTTATTATACTCTTTTGTATCATTTAAACTTTTAATCAAAATAAGCGATTTACTAGCGCTGCCATCTCGTTGAAGCACTAGCAAGCTTTCATAGCTGATAACTTAACAGTGATGCGCACTGTTAAACTTTTCTGTTAATAACATTTGACATTCATGTTATCCTAATACATTGTGATTGACAAATCCAATTTCTAATGACTTTTTAAAAGTGGGTTTTGGCCAAAAAAAGTGGGTAAATTACCCATAGTGCAGTGGGTCCCATGCAATTTAAAAGAAATTGTTGATTAAATAAAATTCTATATTCAGTTACTAACAGTTACAGAATAATATACGATTTGACAACAAATTCGTTTCATGTCTTACTAATAGATTTAAGGGCTTATAATAATAATAATAATAATTGTGTGACTTTCCCCGAATGTCTAAACTTATTCCTGTCTCGTTTTTAGCTATTAAATCGCCTAAAGAATGCCCTATATCAATTATTTCTGGTATTTCTCCAGCACATTTAGTATATTTTCCAGCATCGGCCAGATTGGTCGCCGAATTTGCTACGGTCACATTGACGGCGTGGCCCGACTTCCTTTCCTGTCAAAATAGTCGACAAAGGTGGTACTTTTTTTCCTTTCGCCGCCGAAAATGGCCAAAATCCGCGCTAACCACAACGCAGTGCAGCGAAATAATGCGACAACTGGCTGAGTGAAACATGCATGGTGGAGGTTCTCCACGCAGACCGGTGAAATGCCAGCGTCATCAGGCCGATTGCCGGCGATTTGTGATTGTGCTGCGTTGTGGCGAAGCGGTTTTCGCCCCTGCGAAATAATTGTTTATAACTAAAACCCGGTGATGCAAATTCCAGATGGCTATCGGCTCCAAGATTATCAAGCCCGGCGGCGCGGATCCCGATGATTTCGAGAAGTCCATTGCCCAGGCGCTGGTCGAGCTCGAGGCCAACAGCGACCTGAAGCCCTACCTGCGGGATCTGCACATCACCCGTGCCCGCGAGATTGAGTTCGGCAGCAAGAAGGTATGTATATCAACACCATAAGTAGTTTTGTAACCAAGGAAACCTCTCCTCCCCCGCAGGCCGTCATCATCTACGTGCCCATTCCACAGCAGAAGGTGTTCCAGAAGATCCAGATCATCCTGGTCCGCGAGCTGGAGAAGAAGTTCTCGGGCAAGCACGTCGTCGTCATTGGCGAGCGCAAGATCCTGCCCAAGCCGACGCGCAAGGCCCGCAACCCGCTCAAGCAGAAGCGTCCCCGCTCCAGGACTCTGACCGCTGTGTATGACGCCATCCTCGAGGATCTGGTCTTCCCCGCCGAGATCGTGGGCAAGCGCATCCGCGTCAAGCTGGACGGCTCCCAGCTGGTCAAGGTGCATCTGGACAAGAACCAGCAGACCACCATCGAGCACAAAGTGAGCTGAGAAACCTTCATGTCTATAAGTAGAAAGCGTAGTGCATCGTGTGTTTTCTCGAGCGTACCCTCGATATTTGGGCTTTCCTTGCCATGGAGCTCAATCTTCGCCAGGGGACGCAGAACAGTCAGGGCCAATTACTCGTTATTGCAGGCATTAGAAGCCATTGCGGTCCTGCATCTCCAAATATTGGCCACACTTTGGTCAGAAACTCCGTTCTTGTGTTATTCGCTGGTTTATCTTATCCAAAACCAGTGATTGTCAAACAGAACGCATAGTAAACACCAGGCAGCTAATCACTCCATAATGTTGAGCCGACTTTCCAGGGCATCTGCATTACTAAATGTTTGCCACACTCGTACTTGAAATACCTTTTAATACACAAAGTTCAGAACTGTTTTATAAATATTTTTGAAAAGATTTTATTGATATCTACCGTTTTTGTGTTATTTGCTGGAAGTTATATCCAAAGCCAGTGATTGTCAAACAGAACGTAGACTATAATCCAGGCAGCTAATCACTCCATAATGTTTATCCTAAATTAATCAGGGATTCTGCATTACTAAATGTTTGCTACATGCACAAGCTGTTGTATTATTTTTGTATAAAAATAGGAAATTGAAATTCTTGTGTAGAGCGTTTAGTTTTCTTAGCTGGTTGTTTTATTTAAAATCAGCTTTTGTCAAACAGAACGTAGACTATAAACCAGGCAGCTAATCACTCCATAATGTGTATCCTACCGTGCATAGGGATTCTGCATTACTAAATGCTTGTCACATGTAGATATCTGAACTTGTTTGATTCCGAACCACCGTTCTTGTGTTATTTGCTGGACGTTTTCATAGTCCAGCGATTGTCAAACAGAACGCATATCAAAGCAACTAATCACTCCATAATGATGGGTCTATTTACCAGGACCTCCTCATTACTAAATGTTTGCTACACTCTAAAATCTATAGGAACTCTTGTCACAAAACACCGTTCTTGTGTTATTTGCTAAGCGGTCATTCAAGCTCAGCGATTGTCAAACAGAACGCAAATTAAAGGCAGCTAATCACTCCATAATGTTGAGCCGACTTTCCAGGGCTTCAGCATTACTAAATGCGCGCCACATTTGTACAAATACATATCTTTTGGAATACCTCGATTCCGTTACCGTTCTTGTGTTATTTGCTGGACGTTTTTAAAGTCCAGCGATTGTCAAACAGAACGCACACTAAATCGCAACTAATCACTCCATAATGATGCGTCTAAATTAGCCAGGACTACATCATTACTAAATGTTTGCTATATTTATATACAATCATTTTATTATCTTGAAAACACACGATGCTCTTTGCTTGCCGCCTATTTGCCTCCCGAGCGCCGTTTAGTTTTCCTGGTGCCTTGGGACTTCCTATATAAGCGGAAAATTAATCCAGCTTTCCGTACGATATCTTCGCTGCAGTTTTTCCTGCTGCAGAGGAGGTCACGGCAGCTGTACACTACTTTATGCCCATAAAACCCTTAAGATCTTGTTACTAATATGTGTTTTTCCTCTTCCTTCAGGTCGACACCTTCACCTCGGTCTACAAGAAGCTGACTGGTCGCGATGTTACCTTCGAATTCCCCGACAACTACCTGAATGTCTAGAGCGGGTACTCGTTAGAAAGTCGCACTGGTTCGCCGGTTCATCTGGGAAAATCACCTCTATTCTGTAGTGCAGAAGATGAGTTTTTTACATGAGCTAGAGAACGTGAAATAAACATTAAACAATTTAAAACTAAGCAAACTTGCAATTAAGCCAACTCTCTGTTGTCCTGTAATTAATCAGCGCTAGGGGGAGTTTACTCTTGGGGGTCGATTTGTAATCCCTTGGAAGATTGCTGCCTGCTGGGATGTGTGACATGTTTTGATTAAGAGCAGCTTTAAAAGGCGTAATTATATGAAGGACTGGATTTTTGTAACATGCGGTGTCTGCTCTACTACTTAATTAAAAAGCTGGCAACGTACGTTTGTTACAATAGCTTCAAATTGTAACTTTTCTTCAAAAGAGTAGCACGTGTGTCAAAAGGGGTTAATTTTGTGGCGTGTCTCATGTTCATTTGCTGTAATTATAGGTATTCCAGAATTTGGTTAAATTACACGCATTACGCTTTTGAATAATCACATGTGCGATTGGGGGTGGTAATAATTTGGGACGGATTAATTTCTGGGGAATAGAAAGCTTCAACATGGAGCACCCTATATATTTAAAGCTTTTTAACCGCCAAAATTTAAGTTCCCTATACAATTATTATTGTTTATTTTGATTTTAACTTTTATCTTTGTATTTGTTTAAAAAAAATTTGTTTGCATAAATTTCTAATTTTTTCTTAAAGAAGAGTTCTTTTGTCCTTAAGTAAAATCATAGTATTTTTTACAGTCTATTACTGGCCATTTAGTTATTATTCCTTTATGGGTATTTTTTTTATCGCCGGAATCAGTAGAGTCATTGTTTTGACCAGAAACCTATTCAAGCCTTTGCTGAACTACAATAGTCCTGGTTTATTTATGGCATTAGTGCATTCCTGCCCCATTTAAACTGTCCGAGTCGATTGATTGCAGTTTGAAATTCAATTAGAAGCGACCGCAAAATCACGCAATTCAACAATTCCGAAATGCTACAGGGGCAAACAAAAGGATCCCGACCAGCGATGAAACTAAAGATTGGGGGTTAAAGTCAACGGACTGACAGGACATGAACATGGAAAACGAACACGAATGGGGCTTTAAGTTGTGGAGTAGGAAAAATAGTTTTGGCCACAACAAGAGTTCGAGTAGAACTTTCGATTTCCGACAAATTGTTGATGTGTTGTTTGTTTTTTGGGTTGTTGTGTCTGGGGAATTCCCCGTGGGTGGTGGTGTCACAAGGGGGCGTGTCCGATGGGGGAGACAGGTGGTTCGATGACAAGTTGGTGGGATTTTCGGGGGAATTGGCTCGTCGGCTATCGGTGATTCTATCTAAATGACCCCGCGGGGTCATCTATTATTGATGTTGCCTAATTGTGCGCCATTCTAGACGAGAATGGTTATCATTAGGGGTGGTAATTCGCAGATGGTGTGGGTGGTTCTCTCTTCGTCCTTGAACCCGCTAATGCGTAATGCCGTCTTAAAGGAAACCCCCATCCTATCGTCTTAATTAAAACGCAGCCCACACATTTGTGGGCACTTTGTATGTAGATTTTATTTGACATGTGCTTGGCGGAAAATGTTTATGACAGTCGCAGTTCGGTTCCCACCATATCCTGTCGCTTGGGGTTGGGAATGTGAAACCCCCACCCGCTGCCAGGACTTTGACAAATTATTATGTCATCTCCCGCCGCTGACGATGGCGACGGATTTCTGAGTCACGCCGCGATTCCCAGTGCAAATAGCCGAGAATCACAATCTGCAATGAATGAGCGTTTATATGGCGGGCGTAATATCAGTGGGGGTGACCAATCAGTTATTGGCTCATTAATCCATTATTATGTTTTGCTGTTTATAATTTCCGAGGATTAAAGCGTTATTCATTCAAGTCTTTTCGTGTTTAGTCTAGAAAATATATATTTTATAAAAAAGTATTGATATAAATAATTTTACTAGAAATTAAATTTGATTAAATTGTAAAATATTTATTTATTTTTTTGAAATAATCATTTTTTATTGAAAATGTACTTAACTCTTCACTAAATATTTGTTGCTTATTGATAAGATAATCTTAATGAATGTGTACCTAAATGCTGATTTAAATTTTGGCTTAACTAATTTCTGGGTAACTAGCTTTTTTGGTATCAGGCAATAAGAATTCATATCAACTTTGAAAGTTAGTGCAAGCGTTATCTCATGCACAGAAAGAAATAAATTAGAAAATGTTGATTATAAGAATTTGATAAAATATTTTTAAACGGAAAGTAAATACAGAACATGTTTAAGAAGGGAATCTTATCGGTTCATTGGCTATAAGTTCAGGACTCCGCAGTGCACCTTAAATATTTATAAGGGGCGGAGTTGCAGGGGATCCACTATGCGTCGAACTAAGTAATCAGCACGAGACCGTTCGGTTAAAGTTGCCGTTCCACGATGACTGCCATGGGCCAGACATCGGCTGATAAGCCCCCGATAAACCAGCCATAAAGTTCTAAATCAACTACAGTTAGCTCCCTGGGAGAGCTCGTCTGATGATCGCACATGTATAGTTCAGAATTTCTTGCCTCGCTGAGTTTTCTATATTTATCCAAAGCTAACGTTACATCATGCCACCCAGTGAAGATTTTTATTTCCGAAAGCAAGCAATAAATTATGAATATTACTGGAGGGGCGATGGATTCGTTGGCTGCTTTTTCTTATAAGTTGAAAACTTTTTTTGGGCTTATCGCAGTCCTATGGAATTTAGGTACCATTTTTGTAGTTGCAGCGATAAGGAAAAAGCTGGGTTTCCGGTTTTGGAATCGACTTTCAAAAAAAGTTTATTTTCATCATAAGAGTGCTATAATCTCTAACCAGTCTTCTTCATTATTATTATTATCTGTAGACACAACATGAAAATATGATAGAGGGCATAAAAAACAGAAAATGAGAGAGAAAACAGATAAAGGCGACACACCGATAATGATGCTATTGGCAACAAACAAATAGAGAGAATTATTTAGTTTTTCCACACTCTCTCGCTCTCTGGGAAAAGTGGGCCAGTAAGAAAAGTAAGCGACAGCAACTGGGAACTTGGCCGATATTTACAGCTCTGGGATCTCACGCGATGACGAAATGCGGCACTCGCAGCCCACTACTCGTATACGTGTTGTGGGTTCCCTCTTGGCCACTCGCATTGAGTATTGAGTATACAACCCGTTGCCGGCTTCGTTCGCGCGACTGTTGCTGCTCTGCCGACGTCTGCGACTGCGCCGGCGTCGACGTCAACGCCACGCCTACTCACTGTGGAATACCCTATGACATTTTGGTTATATGTGATAAGTTTCTGAAGAGGGTAAATAAATTATTATTGTTAAAGACAAATGATAAAGAGGGAGAGATGTTGAATGCCAAACATTTATCACAATTTTTTGGAAATTCAAATTTTAAAAAAATTAATTTTTAAAATCTGTATGAATCAGAAGTGTAGTTTAAAACTACAAGTTTAAGGTAAGCTAGTAGAAGCTAAGATCTTTAATTTCTAAAGAATATACTTCTTCATTTTTTTGATTTTTTTAAAAGTGCAGATAAAATTCAGATAAGATTAAAACCTTTGATTAGAATTGGAGACAGATCTACTTTTGAGACAGATTAGATAAGTGCTTGGCTTATCACCATCATAAGCATATTTTCGAAAGGTGAAGCAATCTGATTTATCTGTTAGTCTGGGATAAAGAACCTTGGAGTAACGATTAAAATGAAAGAGCTCACATTGTTTTTTCTATGCATTCTCATTTTCCAAGTGGCCTGGGCCCAATGTAAGTGATACAAGGATAATGTGTCAGAAAAATAATTATATTCTTGTGATCGCTATTTTATTTATATCGCCAACAGATAAAGAATGCCATAGTGAAACATGGGGAATCGGACGTTGTATGAACGTTAAGGACTGTCCGAATGATTCTTCCTCGCAGAAGAATTACTTCTATTCCTACACCCAGAAAAAAAGGAACGAAAAAAATCAAGAACATTTTTCTTGATTTAAGAACAATCCGTTCGCTATTTTTCGTTCATGAAAAACGAACGCCGCGGGGTCAAATCATGAACTTTTTGGTAAAATTATGAACGCGTCACAGAAAAGTGTTGAGCTTTGAACGATTGTGGTCAGATTATGAACAATGGTTCTGAAATTGCGAACGCTGTTTATAAACTATTTCTTGCAAGTCTAGTGCCCCGTTTGTCCGTACTTGAAAAATTAATTCCGTGGTCCAGCTGTTAGACCGTCCGCCTTTGACATAGAGTAGCCCAGGTTCGAGCCCGCGAGAGGACGTCGTGAATCGTAAGTTTTAATAAATTATTATTTCTAATGTTAATATGTACTTCTAATAATAAATAAATTATATGCCAACAACAAATTCTAAAAAATAACATGTATTAAAAATAATTCAACCACTAAAAAAAATAATATCAAATACATCTCTACCAGGCGCACAGAAAAAACAGCAAGTGGCAAGTCCAGAAATCTTGTTTATTTTTGTTTTTTTTTTAACTTTTCGTTCTCAAATTAACCCCAAAATGTTCTAAAAGTGACCCCATTCGTTCGCAAAGCATGCCAAATATTTCGGTCAAATTTTATGAACAAGCGTTCATGAACTGACAACAAACGGGCTTACGCACTTTTTGACCCCGTTTGGGCTTGATTTTTGAACGTTTCGAACGGATTTTTTTCTGGGTGTATGATTGCGGAACGCATTCGATCTGCTGCCTTGGGCAGAAAGCAAGCGGCAGAATAATCACTTCGCTACCTCAACCTCCAACCTGCGGAGGCTTCGATTCCAATGAGAAGATTTTGGGTGGTTCGGAAACCGGTCTCTATGAGTTTCCCTGGTTGGTACTACTAGAGTACCGCAAACAAAATGAATACGAGCTGACCTTCAATTGTGCAGGATCGCTTATTAACCATCGTTATGTGCTGACAGCTGCTCATTGTTTGTACAGAGAGCACTTAAGGGGCATCGGAGATCTGTAAGTTCATAAATGTTTAAAGCTCATTATATAGAAGCTCATTAGACTTTCTCGTTTTTTATCCAGTGTCTCGGTGAGATTGGGTGAGTATGACACCCGTACCGATGAGGATTGCTCCGATTTTGGAGGGAAATGCGCCCCAAAATATCAGCGATTTGGTGTCGAGGAGATTCGAATTCACGAAGGATTTCGTGGAATGCACGGTAGTAGAGAGCATGATATTGGCTTGATTCGTTTGAACCAGAATGTGGTCTATTCGGACAACATTCAACCCATTTGCCTGCCCTCGACTGACCATTTTGAGGGTAGGTATCACGGTCAGCCCTTCATCGTAGCTGGATGGGGTAGAACTTCGACTTCGGAAAGTAGTCCCACTAAGCAAAAAGTGAAGGTTAAATACGTGGATGCAAATAAGTGCCGTCGGAAATACGAGCAGAAAAATATCTTCCTGCAATCCACTCAATTATGTGCCGGTCAGTACCAGAAAGACAGCTGCAAAGGAGACTCTGGCGGACCTCTGATGCAATTCCGAGGTGGCGTTTGGGTCCTGGAGGGCATCGTGTCCTTCGGCAAAGGATGCGGTCAATGGAAATGGCCCGGTGTCTACACGGACGTTGCTGCATACAATACCTGGATCAGGGAGAATATCGTGGCCAAGGATGGGGATTACGTAGATATTATGGTGGACCCTCTACATAGTGACAATTGGAATTCGCAGGCCAGAGACAATGAAGCAAATCGAGAGAGTTCAGAGGAAGAGAACAATTTATATTATAGAATTAAGGAGTAGAAAAACTAGAGAAAACGCTATAGTCGGGTTGTTGTCCCGACTATCTAATACCCGTCACTCGGCTAAAGGGAGTGCGAGGGAGTTGGATATATAACATTTTTTGAGTGCGTATAACTTTTTATTAAATAGTCCGATTTGAAAAATGTCTTCAGCATTTCGATAGGTATAAATATACACAACAAAATTGCATTTACACTTCTCGGAAATCTTTAAAGGTGTGGGCGCCAGGGTCGTAAACGCTTCCTTCTCCCTGTTACATACTTTTGCACGAATACAATATACCCTTTTACTCTACAAGTAACGGGTATAATTAATACAAATTCTGAAAAGCAAGTCATCAACAGTGGTTCATCAAAGTATTAATTCTGGGGTTTCGCTATTAAGTGACTAAAAAGGTCATAAGCATAAAGCATTTGGGTCCCCAAGGCAGAGGTGACCCCAAAAAATGAATGTGTAGAGTTAAAGAATAGAAATATTAATACAAATAATGAAAATATAGTCATCTAAAGTGGTTCATCGAAGTATAAATTCTGGGACTAAAAAAGGCATTTGGGTCACCAAAGTAGAGGTGACCCCAAAAAATGAATGTGTAGGGCATCCTTAGTTCGCCTAAGCCCCATAGTTTTCCATGGAAATTGGTCATGTCTCGTAGCGGCAGCATTGACTTTGAACCGAGAGTTGTTTGTGTAATGTTTACGGAATGTGTGAGCACAACAGAGAACAACAAACAGGGTGGGTGGACCGAAGGGGGCAGTGAAAGGGGGGTGCCGACGAAGAGGGCAAGGCGGAATGGTAGATAATAACTGCAGACGCAGCGAAGCGACAACAAATAAACTACAAATTGAATACTCCCCAACCGCAGTCGACGTCGGCGTCGCAGTTGACGTCGACGTCTCTGCCGTCGATAGTTCTGGGTGCTCCACTAAAGCAGCGCAGTCGACGTCGACGGCGACGCAGGCAGCGCCCTCTCTTTTTGGATGTAAAATGTCGACCGATTTCAGCGGGCTTCGTTAGTCACTTGAGTTCGTTCGCCTGGTCAACAACAGCGGAGAAAGCGAGACGAGAAGAGAAGAGAGTGAGAAGCGCGAAGAATCCCGGCATATCCGTATCCCGAGAGTCCCGACGATCCGTAGTTCCAAAGTTTTCGCCGCGGAACCGCGAATTCCAGTTACCCAGTATCCCCAACACCACATAAAAAGTACGTTCTACAAAGTGATCACAAACTCTATAACAACGGAATACCATATGGTTTTTTATAAGCTCTCTTAAAGACTGAAATTGTGAAGCATAATAGTTATATTTGAATAGTACTCCAAAACCTTTAAGAACCAACTGTGGCATTTTATTGGAGACATTCAGAAACTTTTGGAAACTGACATTGTACAGTAAACTATTTTTTTTCAGAAGTATCTCCTATTTCTATTATTAGTTATTAAATTAAAGACTCTTCAAAACTTTTGGTAACGGACATTATAGAGCATAATCTGCGACATGGAAAGCCCACTTTTAGTACCATTTGAATGGTATTCCCAATCCCAATTCCAATTCCCAACCCCTCTTCAAACACACTGCTCACATGCAAATTGTAACCCAATTGTTTGCTCATTTCTGTCATTACCAGCGTCGATTAGGGGGAGTGGATGGTGGATGGGAGGGGGAGTTTGGTGGGAGTCAACAGACCGAATAACATGCACACCCCACCGCCCTCCCACCAAATAAAAAAGCACCAACCTCTAGAAGAACCTCCCCCAGGTGTTAGCTCTAGGACTGTATACACATTATTATCCCTCACGATTTGATTGCCGCGACACGCGTTGACCCACATCAATAAAGCGACCGAAAACAGACTGACTAACTTGGGCAACCCCTTATAAGTAAACTCCCAACGGAGTAGTGAATTCCCCCTAATTTGCGGAAAGAAATAATGAACTGCTCATAAACTACACTAAATATCATTGAACTATTTAATAAAGAGAAGGAGAGTTTCCGAGTTAGGCAATCACAAAAAATAATGATGTGGTAAACTCATGTTAAAAAACTTCGGCTTATCTATCGTGACTAACAAAGTTTTCCGTTCAAAAATATGTTTTCAAAACTGGTGATTTCATACAAACATTTTGCGGAATCTGTTATCGTTTTATTTTGTCGTTAAAAGTACTCATTTTGGGAAAACGAAATGTTGCTTCAGCAATCTTCAGATCGAAAAGCTACAAAGTGTCAACCAAAATAAATATTATTCTTTCATTTCGTTATCGATTCATGCTAAACAATGATCACAGATGTGGCCCACAATCTTTAGTACACTATCCTCTGAGCAAACTCCCCAAGCAAACTCAAATAAAAAGAGGTTCTTTAAAAGCAATAGTCAACACGCTAATTCTTTGGAATCCCTTATCGTCACCCTTTAGCAGGAACAAATATTAGTATGCCACATAGCAGTACTAAAACAAGAGGGAACGTTATAGTCGGATGCCCCGACTATCAGATACCCGTTACTCAGGTAAAGGGAGTGCGAGGGAGATGGAGATAGAGATAGAAAACGTTGATCACGCATAACTTTTTAACGAATGGTCCGATTTGAAAAATTTCTTCTACATTTCGATAGGTATTGATAAACACAATAAAACTGCATTTTTACTTTTCCAAAATATTAAAATTTTTAAAATCGTATATAAGCGATGGTGGGCGTTAGAGGGGGCGTGGCACCATTTTGAAACAAACTTGCGCTGCGTAGGAATTCCTAGAATCTGCATGCAAAATGCCAATCTTCTAGCTTCTATAGTTTCCGAGATCTCAGCGTTCATACGGACAGACGGACAGACAGACAGACGGACAGACGGACAGACGGACATGGCTAGATCGACTCGGCTAGTGATCCTGATCAAGAATATATATACTTTATGGGGTCGGAAACGCTTCCTTCTACCTGTTACATACTTTTGCACGAATACAATATACCCTTTTACTCTACGAGTAACGGGTATAAAAAAACTGAAAACATATATTTTTCAGAATTGAATTATATGGTAGACCCATTAAAACCAATCTGAAACTAGGGTTCATAAATTGGTTTAATTATACTTTACTTCTTATATTTGTAAAATCTAATATACTTTGACTACAGATATTAAATAGTATTCATTTAAGAATTCCATTTTTAATTAGCTCGTTCTCTTTCCCCCAGTGTATCTATAGTTTGCCAACGATCTGGTCTGAATTATCTTTAGATAGTGCCTTTAGTGCCTTCAATTACCCCGCGACCATTAAAAGCTCCAATTGAAGGTGGCAGCCGGGCAACAAGTGCCGATACGATACTTGATCTCATAGCATAGTGCTCTATTAATTCGCAGTGCTGGGAAATCTGTGAGGTTTTCTTTGCTCTCAATAGAATTCGAAAAAAAAGCTCACCGCTGTCCCACGGGGGGCATGGAAAATTTCCAATAAAATTCGGCATTTCGGGCATTAAAATCGCTTGGTGAGTGACGATATAGGAAAATAGTTGGTGATACCACGACGTGCGAGCCATCAGGCAATTAGCCATGTCTCGAAAAAAACGGGGAGGAGTAGGGAAATCGGGAACAGACCCTCTCGACGGACGGTCAGCTTTATCGCTGCAAATGAAAACACTCCAGAGCGAACGAAAGAGCGGCGAATGCCAATAAAATAGTGAACTAGGGGTACGATGTATTTATTTATTATTATTTATTATTGGGGCGAAATGGATTATTTTTTATGTCCAGTGAGTTGCCAAGTTGCCAAGTTCGGAAATTAAGCAAACGAGAGTGAAGTGGCTGGCGCTCTTTTCTATATGGAATATGGAATCTAATTTATGCATGCCAAAGTCGCGTGCTCGGGGCCAATGAAAATGTTGATCAATTCTTGTGACAGCGTTCGTCAGTCGAAAAGACAACCCATAACCTCCGATTTATTTCTTCCCCCCTTTCGAATTAGCGTGCGTGGCTACATTTGCTAATTAAAAGATGGGGCGTGTTTCGGAGTCCCCACTGTGTCCCTCCCCGTCTGGCATACTATCAATATGTAAATTGATCAGACTCCCCCTCGGCAATCTTATCTCTATGGCAACTTACGTAAGGGGAGCGATTCTTCGGCACCCCCATTACTCATGCCACTTTCGAGCGATTGGAACACCTGGAGGGGTCAGACAGAAAGTGAATCACGATGGCAATCATCGCACTTGGAGTATTTGCCATAGTCGATAGGGTCTTATCAACGCTCTTAACCCGAAAATGTTGAATGAATCAAGTGAGGGGGAGGAGGAACTATGGTCCGGTTGGGAAAATGTGGGCCAGGTGCGCCAGGTGTGCAGTGCTTATCAGCAGGGCAATAAGCCATCGCACACGCACGAGGAATGGATCGAAAATCATAGGAAATGTTCTGCGGGGGCGTCGACTATACGACTATACCACCCAGTATTTTGGGGAGTCCAAAGGTATATGGCTTTCGGTTAGGAGTGCGAGACAGTAAAATCAAAAGCTCGGCAATTAACGACTGCAATTCTCGGCTACCCAGGCTAATATATCAAATTTCGCCCACACTTAACGTGGCAAAAATCCAAAATTTATTTAATCAGAAAAAGAGGAATTTTTTCAAGACTTGAAAAAAAGAAAATGTTACATTATATATATTATAATGTAGCTTTTAGCTACCACTTTAAAATGGTACATTTAACCTTTAATTGAAAATAAAATTCATTTAATAGCGCAACCCCATTTAAAATGTTTATACTTTGAGATTTAATGGGTATTTTGCTTTCGTTTTTCCCCTCAGAAAATCATAAGTTTCGCTATGTTTGTTTTCTCAGCTGGTCAAGCTATTTAGATGTGTTTAAAAATCTATTCACGATCTTCGCACTTCCCACAAATATTTATTTGATTTTGGTACATTTGTGATTTGATTTTAGTTTCGGAAATAGCAATAACCTATTTAAACAAATAAATATGTTTTTATTGATTTGTGAAATGTATTTTTTAAATATATTTATGAAATGTCTTAGTCAAAAAATCTTAAGTGTACCGACCAACTTGATATTTTTTATGGGGTCGGAAGAGTATGGGGGTCTTTAGATAAGGAAACTATGGAGCAATTGGGTGTATGAGATTAGGAATCGTCGAAATCCCTGCAATTCGGAGACCCCAATGACAGGGCAGAATCATCCACTCTTTACCGCGAGTGTCACACTATCCATCATGCAATTAGTTTGAATTTTGAACCACCTGCGTGGTTCGTGGCTTGCAGATCCACCTGTTAACCACCTGGCTGATGACTCACAGTTGTTTTTTCTTTTATAACCCTAATGATGTAGTGTAGCTCTATTTGTTTTCGACCAGATAGTGGCCAACTTGCAGATCGGTGATTGCAACATGGAACTCGGCAGGCGATAAGCCGCGATAACGCCGACCCTGACTGCCCAAGTTTATTCCACAAATAAACGGAATTCTGTTAATATCCAGAGCAAACCCTTTGGGTCTATAAAGCGGCTGAAAGAGCTTTAGGCTGGCAACAGATTTCACACCAATTACAGTCGAAACTCTCTGAAAGGCCTGCTAATAGTGCGCGGTTATAACCATACTAAACTTCAATTAGCGAGGGTGTGTAGATTTGCTTTGATATCACAGCGAGAAAAGTTCTATTGTAAACAGATGATGGGCTCTTGAAAGCCCCAACTAGTTTAACAGTCAACAGCAAATGTTTACATTATGAAAGGTTTATTAGCCTTTCACTGTTTGCTCTGGCATTACTCATGGTTGGTTAGAGGTGGCTTCTTTGATTGTATTATATCTCAAGATCAGCAGATTATACACCATTGGAAGTACTCCCTTTAATCTCAAATTGCCAATGACAACACTGCGTATGAGCAATATTTCTATGATAGAGTCTTCTGAGCCTTGCTTTTCTATCTTGAAAACTTTTTCAGAACTCCCCATGTTTCTTGTGTCACTTATGATCATATATGAAAATGGTTCTTAAATTAATTTTTTTTCAGTGTTGAATTTTAATGTTTAAAGGAAAGATCTATGGATAATGACTCATAATTAATAGAATTGATTACTTTCATGGGGTTGGTTTATTTCAATGGTATTTCAAGAAGCCTGCAATGATTATGATGATTTTATCTTGCAGTATGTGCCTTTCATCCCCGATTCCCGGCCAGAAACAGGGGCCGGCTCCCTGCAATGGATCCTGCAGCCTGGACAGGAATGGCAATCGCAGCGCCTCGACTGTTCCAAATGGAGGAGAGCTGAAGCACAGAGGCACCAATGGCACATCACACACCCTAATCAAGGATGAGGATAATCTGGGCTACAAAGAGGAGAATGCGGTATACAAGGAGCAAGTCCTGGAGCAGGAGAAGCTTCTGCAGGATCAGAAGGTGAAGGAGTCGGAGGCAGAGGAGGAGGAGGAGTATCACCCACAGATCAGATGGCCCGATCTCGGGGCCCAGACCTTCCTGCACATCGGCGCCCTCTACGGATTGTACCAGCTCTTCTACGCCAACTTCTACACATTCCTTTGGGGTGAGTGTCCACTGTTTTGAATCCCCCCCCTCAACAGGGTAATTAACATCTGGGTGGCTAATGAGCTACCACCCCTACTGCGAAATGGTCACCAATCTCCGTAATTGCATCTGCCAACATGCAAACAGTGTTCCGATAGTCGGGTATTAGCTATTTTGTAACCAAGCGTCAACTGCAGTTAACTGGGCCAGTTTAAATTACCTATCTGTATTACAAATTCCCTGGGGTGAGGTAATCATCGAGTTCTAAATGGAGATATAAGGGAGAAAATAATGGAAACGTCAATTTGGAATTAAATGTTTGAAAGTGAAAATAATATCGCTGATAAGAACTAGGGATAATAGATGGTAGAATCTTAGTTATCAGATATCAGATTATTATTTTAACAATGAGTAAATGAGTAAAAGATCAAAGTTCTTCAATGTTTGTGTCCCAGATGACGCACGTCAGGGAAATCTAAATAAGTTAATATTATGCAATAGGTAAACAACCATCGGGTTATATTTGTATGCCCATGCTGCCTGTGTGAACTTTGACCGCTGGCAATTAAAGTTAACGAACGCTTCAATTGCCCGATATTATTCGGCTGGTGATCGAAATCGAAGCATAGGAAAGATTCCCGAGTGGGGAGGCGACAAAATAGGCCACCCCGAAGAAATAGGGGAATATGTAGATATATTTAGAGCCGGGCGTTGTGTCATCCGTTGAGCAAATCACCGAACTATTCAGATGCTTCGGCTGGTATATATAGTATATGTATGTTTTGTTTGTTTGTTTAGACAATGACAACCGTCTGTTCTTAATGCTTTTTCAGTGGTGATCACCGTTTGGGTTTCTGGCATCGGAATCACGGCGGGAGCACATCGACTTTGGTCCCATAAATCCTACACGGCCTCCTTGCCACTGAGGATTCTGCTGGCCTTTGCTTTTTCCATTGCGGGACAGGTTAGTATAACATTAAATTCCTAAAAATAAACCCAAGTAATGTATTAAATCCCTATAGAGAGATGCCTACACGTGGGCTTTGGATCATAGGATACACCACAAGTTCTCGGAGACTGATGCCGATCCGCACAATGCTAAGCGAGGCTTTTTCTTCGCCCACGTGGGCTGGCTTTTCCTCACCCCCCATCCCAAGGTCGTGGCCAAGAGGAAGGTCATCGATATGTCGGATCTGGAGGCGGATGCGGTTTGCATGTTCCAGCGGAAGTACTACATCCCCCTGTTCGCCCTCTGCTCCATCGTTTTGCCGGTGGCTGTGCCCTGGTATTTCTGGAACGAGGACCTCTGGATGTCCTTCTGGATCAACTTCAACATGCGATTCACATGGACCCTCAACGTCGCCTTCTTCGTGAACAGCGTGGCGCACATGTATGGCAACAAACCATACGACAAGTAAGAGAGATCACTGTACTTTAAGAGGGTTTAATTTATGAACGGAAAAATAATTACCAAAGAAGAAAAGTTATTATAAGTAATCAACAATTTGAAAGCTAGAGCTATTTTTCTTTAATTTCTTTTATTTTTTCCTTCTCTATAAATTACCTATTCTATTTCGTGTTCAGCTATTATTTATTATTAAATGAGTTTAGTTCCAGCCTGTGAACGCCAGAAAAAAGTTTATGAACAATAATTCAGCTTAAATTTGCTAATAACTCAATTGGATTTACATTTTATATTAGGAATTTTTTCAAGCTACACATCTGCGTGTATATATTTTTATGTTCTGCCAAAAATGATAATGTCAATTATTAAATGTCCATGTAGTAATATATTTTCGCCAGATTGAAGCGGAAAAATAAATGTGAATTTGTTAGAATGATAGAAAAAGTTACTATTCAAGTCCGTAATTAGTGGAACAATTTGCAACAAAAGCATCTATTAATAGTATCCCTATTCCCATTTTTAATTCAGGAACCTCATGGAACCTTCAAATAAATGTTAATTTTTTTACTGTTCACGTCCGTTCTATTAGTCTGATTTTTAAATGCACCTACTAATGTATCTTTTATTTATTTTTTTCAAGGAACCTTATGTCCACTGAGGCCCCCATCGTCTCCCTGCTGGCCATGGGAGAGGGATGGCACAACTACCACCACGTCTTCCCCTGGGACTACAAGACGGGCGAGTTTGGCAACTATAGCCTCAACATCACCACCGGTTTCATTGACTTCTGCGCCTGGCTGGGCCTGGCCACAGGACGTAAGTATACCCTATAACTCCTAGTCCCTACTCCTACTAATATACCCTTTATAGGTAAATCGGTATCCCCTGATATGGTTTTGAGGAGAGCCAAGAAATGCGGCGATGGAACTCGCTTCCTGGACGACGACTTCGCCCACAAGGATCCGGTGTGGGGATTCGGGGACAAGGACATTCCCCGCGAGGACATCGTGGAGCTGGCCAAGATGCAAAACTAAGCTCTTTAGCCATGTGTATTATGTTTTCAGCCTGTGGTTTTTCTAGTATTAAGTTTGTAGCACCAAGCCATGCCTTTTGCTTATGCTTAAGTGACCTAAGCTTTCACTTGAAGTTTGCAGAGATTTCGAATGAAAGTTGTGATCTTTTACGCGAGGCATTTGACCCATTACCCCCATCCCATCCCAGGATCAATAGGATCGTCGTATAGGGACGCTAATCTCCCATCGTTGCTTTCGTTACTTACCTGCGGGTCAATAAACTATGTTTTGTATTATAACACCGCTCGACTCTGAACACCCTTGGCTTTTTCGAGGCTTATGCATATGCAATTGGTCGATGAATAATCGAATGCCAATCGCCTCATTGGTTTTTGTAATTATGGCGGGGTTTCAGTATAGTCTAGACTGCCGCGGAGGAAGGAACTAACTGGGATAGAGGATTAAGGATTTTAAGGACCTAAAATGGAGAAAACTAAAGCCAAGGAGCTGGATCAGTCTGGAGACTCGATCCTCAAGAAGCGCGATGCCATCTGGCCATTGGTTCTATTCTACATCCATGTGAATATCCTAGGGGTCTACGGCATTTACATTCTGCTCACTAGTGCTTCGTGGGCCACGATTTTATTCAGTGAGTTCGTCGGGTTAATCAGTTCCAAGTGCCGTCGTATAAGTAGTTGATTTTAAATCCCCATAATAGCTGCCCTATTAACTCTGCTTGGCACTTTGGGCGTGACAGTGGGTGTTCATCGTTTGTGGGCGCACAGGACCTTCACCGCCTCCAAACCCTTGAAGGTTTTCCTCATGTTCTGCCAGACGACCGCCGGTCAGGTGAGTTAGCCCCTCAAAAGCTTTTACTCACTACGCCTCTGGTAAAGCTTACCTTTAGCTTACCTGATTTTTACCTGAGACACAAACCTTAAAGTTTAGTCGTGTAGACTGAGTGTATTTTCCGTTTTAGGGCTCCATCTACAGTGTGGTGCAGGCCCATCGACTGCATCACGCCAAGTTCCAGCAGGACGAGGATCCCTACTACAGTAAACAAAGCTTCATGTACGCCCAGGTGCGAGGGGGTCTGCTGAAGTACTCTCCCCAGCAGGAGGAACTGCTCAAGGATGTGGATATGTCGGATCTGGAGAGTGATCCCATTGTCATGTTCCAAAAGCGGTAAGTTAATGTCTCCAGTTTTTCCTGTTCTCATGATTATTGTTTTTTCTAATTTCCCAATGTTTTAAAAATACTTTCCAGGTTCTATGTCCTGCTCTACATCTTCCTCAACGTCCTACTCTCGATAAACACCCCATTTCAGTACTTTGGGGACTCTTTGGCCACCTCCATGTTTGTGGGCTTCTGGCTGCGCAGCCTGATTGTTATAAACCTGGGGAACCTGGTCAACTCATCCCACTTTATCTGGAGCATCCACAAGGGCTTCAAGCCCACGGACTCGAATAGTATCTTCTTGATCACGAAAAGCTACTGGCCGCAGTATCATTACTTACTGCCGCGGGATTATCAGAGTGGGGAATATGGGGACTATGCTTCGGGTATTGGATCTGCCATGATCCGGGTATTTGCCGCCCTTGATTGGGCCAAGGATCTGAAGACCATTGGATCGGTGGCAGTTCGACAGGGTCTTACAAAGGCGGTGGAAACTGGTAGACCCATTGTCGAGTGCATCGAGGAACAGGTGGAGCTGGAGGAGAACCAACTGCCGGCCAACCATTTCCTCAACCGGGAAAAGTTTATGTGAGCACATTGCATCATCGTGGGGCACTAAAAAGATGCGACAAATGGTCGCGTCAGTCGTAAAAATAAATTAACCGCCATCGAGAGGGCGGGGTAGAGTAAACTGAGAGCCTAATTATTGGTCAGCATAAAAAACCAGCGCGGTAAACAGAGGTGCAGTTCGAAAACTCCATCGCATTTTCGTGGGCTGAAATGGAAATGGAACTGGAAATGGTGACCCTCCAAGTGGGATGCACTTGGCGGCTCTTTCTTGCCCAAGAGTAAACAAACTAGCTTACAAATCACAGCTCGGCCTAATTATGCATTCCCATTGACACAAAGAGAAAATAATACAACTAATAATGTAGGTTATTTCATCAGTTGTGTGGGTGGTAAGTTAATATTTGGGAAATCATGAAATTCGGCTTATGTGGGCATAACTATATTTATTCATGATAATAGATGGGTCTTATACAAAAGAGAATATTATATAATGAATAGGAAATTATTTAAATATGTTTAAAAATTGTCTATGTGTGTGATATTCAGATTAAAAAAGAATATTATTGAAACTTAAACTAAAGGTTAGTATACATGATAATATTTAGGATTTTATGATTATAATATTTCAGATCCCTGACCTTTTTTCTTTCTGTGCACTCCTCCAATTTCCGACTTCGAATCCGAATTCGAGTTCGTCACCTTTTCCTATTTCTCTTTCGGTTGTTTACAGATGCCAATTCATTTGGCAATCGGTTCGTTTGCTTTCCCATGCTCGAATCGGTTGGGCATCGTATCGGGATATAGCAATATATATACGTATATATAAGCATACATTTATTTTTGGCTTTCAGGTGCTTTGTGGCGGGTTTTTATGGGTTGCGCCTAATGATTTTATTAGTCGTACGCAATGTATGTTCAGTGGCTGTGTCGCTGATTGATTCGTCAATATTGACACCGCACTCAATAGTGGCCGCCCAGAAGCCTTTTCCTAACTTATCCTCCTTTTTTTTCCCTTCTCCAATCTGTTTGCTCATTAAACTTGGTTTAGGCAAACTGAGCGCCTGACTTGGATCACATCGATCGATGCTAAGGAGCCTCAAGAGCCGGTGGCCATTCTAATGTACACATTCTAATACCTATTCATAAAGCATAATCCGCCTGGGTGTGAACATTCCGCACTCAACGCAACTCCACTGACTCACATTTGAGTCGGCCACTTGTACCAATTCCTAATGACTCTGCACTGAAGTGATTACTAATGAATTTGCCTGCTAAAAGCTGCACACTTAAAACATTTTATGACCCACAACTGCATGAAATTACAGGCATACGTGAGGTGTGAGGAAAATGTCTAGGGAAATAAACAAAAAATGTTCAGGAAATAAAAAGTTTTATGAGAATTTAAAATAGATCATTAAATAAAAATTCAGCTATTATAGGATATTGATTTTATCATGTTTTTCAGTCAGGAAATAACCACTTGGGAATTATAGCAAAAACTTTTTACAATAATTGTTTATTTGTGTTCGTTTGTGAATATGAAACTTGTAATTGTATTTGACTACATTTTACAGTATTTAATTGTTAGGTTTGGGATATTGCTTTGTAGAAAAACCCCTTGGGAATTATAGTAAATATCTTTAACTGAGGTCTTGTATACAAACTAATATCATCTTAAAAGTACATACTGCTGTACTTAGCAGAATTTAGCCATTTTTTGTTTCTCTCCGATTTTATTCGAGTGTATCCCTATTCGCTTTTAGCTGTTTGCGCTGTGGCAGATTTGAGATCTGAGATCCGCTCCGCTCTGTGGCAAATTGCAGTCGCGTAGCGTTCTGCGCTTTGTTTAGTGTTAATTTGTTTTCCATAAACCGACTGAGCGACAGTTGAAGGTTGCACAAATACGTGGAGTACGCAAAATCGCTGTTGACTGGCTGGGCTTATGCAACTCTATGGGGCTACCATAGGCCCCGAAAAAACTACCTAGTTTCGATTTGGGCAGGTGCTGGGATGCTGCGGGGTAAACCTTAGCTGAAAATAAAAACCTCACCATTCACGGCCTAATCGCTGGCAAATTGAAATATCTTGCGCATGAATGGCCGTCTTTTTGTGGCCAAGAACAGTGGAACGGGAAGCGATTAGGCGAAAAATGAACAAATCGCACACATATGTACCTGATATTTATGGATAGGTACCTGAACAATAGTCAACTGGCTTTGTTCGGGGAACTTTTTTGTATTTCTTACTTTGAGCAGAACAGAACCCTCATATAAAACGCTGACAGTGCGAAAAGAGAAGCTGCGCAATATTTCAAAGTGGTTTCCAATGATTTCGAGTAGTCTGCCTGCCAAGTTGCCTGTTTGTTTATAAACAAAGCCAAAGGCAAAGGCAGACAATTTTCTGTTTTTCTGTGGCTTTGCATAATTGGCTAATGGCCGTTGCCTTACAACATCAGCACCTCATCAACAGCATCTTGCAGATATACCATACAATACCACCTTATACCATCTACAGTTGGTCGAGATCAAAGGGTTCGGTCGCGTGACACTGTAAACGAATGTCCGCAGATTCGGATTTCGGTTAGGTTTTTTTAGGGAGAGCAGAGAAGAGAAGCTGTAAACCCAGTTTTACGATGGGCTTCCTTAGCTCTGGGGTTTTATTTCGCCGCGGGTTCGCCGCTTTTGCTTTTGCTTTTGGATTTTAATTAAGTTCGGTTTCTGTTTCTGTCGCCGCGGTTACGTAAAGAGAAAGCAACGTCTTCGGACGTTCGGGAACTGAACTTCATGATCATCGAACGGCTTTTGACTTTGGTCAACACCACACCACACCACACACTTTAAACAGTGGAAGCCCAGTTAAAAGATGATGACTGGAATCGATTTTATATATATGTATATAACTTAAGCTTGCAAAAGGAGAGATTGTCCGTATGCAAATGGGCAGCAGAATCGCAGAATCCCCGGCCGCGGCGTTTGAAATAGAAATCGCTGGAAGGGAAAGGTCTTATATGAATTCCGTCACCCCTTGAATCTAGAACTCATTGGGCATTTGGGTTATGTTATCGGCCCTTGACAACAAGAGTTCAAGTGTGCGAATCTGTCATGGAGGAAGTTTAGCTCTTTCAATTAGCATGGTAAACCACATTGTCCACGTTTCGAATTCGATTTCAATTGGCAAATGCAATTAGAATCGTCTGTGCGAGACTTGTAGACCGGTAGTATCGCTGGATCTTTCGTGAGTAATCGTGAAAAGTGCCGGCAGACTTCTTGTCGGTCTCTCAGGTTTTTTAACTTTTTGTGGCGGTCAGAGGGGCTTTATTTGGGTGCGAAAGAGACGTCTGGTCAGCAGATAAGAATCGACTTTTTGGGGCAGACCCGGTGGTACTGTGTAATGTTTAAAGATCAAAATATCTCACTTGAAAGATTGGATTGCAATAGTATACAATAATAACGTGATGGCAAAGATACAACGTTAAAGGAGATAGGGTTCGGATTAATCCTACAAAACAAATAACTTTCTAAGCTATATTTATAGTTAACTTGTTTTAATTGCTTTCCAAACTTTTACATTTTTTAAATATAGCTAATGAACAACGATATATTTCATGTTAATAGAAATTAGGTAGTTTGAAATCTAATCAATTATAATTATGTGTTTAGTATGTTTTTAATATTACCAGTTATAATTGGTAACTTTGCTATACTATAGCATTATTAAAAACATATTTTAGACATAAAAGTGAACTTAGTTAACATGTTTTTATTTTATTTTTAGCTGGTACTAAACTATTAAGTGATTGCAAATACCAAGTACGACTTCTACTAAGAGAAAACTATTGATATTTCAGTGCCAGCTGGCAGTGAACGTGAATCTTGCCCAATTCGAAGCCCAGAGTCCCCGAAAACCTTTCTTCAGAGTCTTGAGTTTCCCGCAGAGACCGAGTTTGACCTACTGATGCATGACACCCAAAGACCGAAAGACCCACACATTTGGCGTAAACTCGAGGTAGCTAAGGCTGAAAGAAAAAACTTTGGAGCTGCTGACTGCGCTGCTGATTCTGCGACGAAGCCGCTCCGATCCGAAGTGGAATACGAAGCTATATAGCCGAGCACGAAGTTAAAGCCGAAGCCGATACAGGTGCTTTTTCGTACGCGTGTGTGTGTGGTGGCATAATCTTGGCCTTCTTGGCCATTTCGTCTCTCCATTTCTTTTCTTTACCTTTGTGCGTCGGATCGGAAACTCCACTCCGTCAGTCAGTCGGTCAATCAGTCACCTTTTGGCTTTGCTTTTCGGCTCGGTCGCCGTCGAAGTCGCTGCTGAAGCCTCAGTCGCAGCTCTGCCCAGGTGAGACGGCCGCATAGGTAGGAATTTACACCTTTGGCTACGATCATTTGTCTACGGAACGGCGCCGCGTTGAGTTCGTTAGACGCGAAAAGGAAAGGAAGTCAATCCCCAGACCCTCTAAGTAAAAGCCCTAAAAACGCGGTTCGTACGCCGAAGTGACTGTGTGTCTCTGTTGGAAGAAAGCCAAAGCAAACTCCACCTCCTACTTATCCAAAGCCAAGTACTCCGGCAATTTGAGTGTTAAGCTGTGAAGAAAGTTCGGCGAGTGCGGTTTCCGCCGGCGAGCCCAAATTAAAAATAAATATAAAAGCGGCAAAATGGGTCATCTGTCCACCTCGGAGCGAGTGTGCAGCAAGACGCCGGCTATTTCGGGCGATTCCAGTCCTCCTTTAGTGGCCAGGAGGTCCAAGTTGGCCAACGGGGATGCCCAGCAGCAGGTGCGACGGGGCGAGGATTCCTCGCCGGAACTTCCGCCCCGCGCAAAGCTGCAGTTGCCCCAGAAGAGGGAGGAACCATCGACCAGATCGGTGATCCCCAAGGAGATAGCCGAACATGTGCCAAAGGATGCTATCAACCTGGAGGAGTATACCCGCACCTTCGTGGGAGATCGCGTGCTGGGATATCAGTTCCAGGCTCCTCTCAAGTGGGACAAAGTCATCCAGATCTCTCTGCTCCACATTGTGGCCGGAATCTGCCTGCTGACCTATCCGCTGCGCAACCTCAATTTGTACACCACCATCTGGTGTAAGTATTGGATCTCTCTCCATATGCAACATCCATCCATTCCATCTCATCATCCCATCCCATCCGGCATTGCGTAATGCCCACTCTCTCTTTCTATCGCCTCGAATTTGGAAATGGTGTTGGGGGCATAGGTGTGTAAAACAAAGAGTCATCTCTGATCGATGCTGTAAAGGGAAAAATAGTACACTGGAATAAAATCGGGCAAAAAACTAGATAGTTTCACAAAAAATATATTTTAGCCAATTTCAACTGGATATGAAATTATAATATATATTTTTGTATATTTAATATTTTTTTAATTTTTTGTGGGAGCTCAGGATTAATTAATATATCTATTTTCCCTTAAAAAAATTTATGTATAAATGATTCTTAGAATGGGAGCATTATAAAAAGATAGTATTTTTTATGAGTATGAAAGGAAAATAGTTTCAGAAAAAAATAGTAATATATCCGGGTTTTGTACCAGTTTTGAAATTTTAAAATAATATTATCTTTTTCTTTTATCTGTTAGTCTCACATTTTTCTCCGAGTGTTGACTAGTTGTTGGTGTCGCTGATGATGTTGTCTTAACGGTTTCCACTCCCCCAAAAAACGAAAGAAAAAAATCTGTTGCCCCACCAATTATTTGCAATTTAGCGCGCCGAGCGTCTTAAGGCCCCTGGCTTTTTCTTTCTTTCTCTGGGCCATTACAAAATGCGTCCCCTTGTTATTGCCTTTAATTGATTGCCGCTTAACACTTTGCCTCCCTTTCCTTTCCTTTGCCCAATACCCTACTATTTTGCCCTTCAGCTTCTGCTTTTTGTTATACGACGTGTGTTGAAATCTCTTTCATTGGCTTCACTTTGGCTTTTGGGTTTGGTTTTGGCTTTTGGGTTTTGAGTTTTCAGCTTTCGGCTGGCATGCAATTTCAGTCTCAGCATAAAAATTGACTGACACAGGTGGATTGCAGAAAACAAAACCAAAACGTGTGGCTATCTAAATAAGCGGTCAAAAAGAGAGGTTGTAGATTGTAGCGAAAGAAAGAGAAACAAGAATCGCTTGACACAATTTTATTTGGGGCTTTGAAAGATCTACCCCACTGTCGGCGAACCTCGAAATTTGGTAAACAAGGTTGAACTAGAAATATCTGGGATTTCAAGCCAAAACATCAGCATTTTCGAGATTTATCAAGAGAATACATTTTGCATTTATTAGGTTAATAGTTTGTGTGTAGTCTAGAAATTTATAGGATTGCAATAAAATACTACAAGGTTATAATGACCCAAAATTAGAGAATTAATATGATTGGTGGCTTGAATCGTGGGGCTAGAAATTTCTAGGTTTTTCTAATATTAACTGCAGACTGATCTTAATAGCTACCAAGGTTAAAATAGAAATGTGTATAAGCTATACACATTTTATATAATTTAAAATAAATGTTCCAAACTCAGAAATTTGACATGGTTTTTGGTTTCCAAAGTTTGACACAAAATTTCTTCACTAAAGGAGATCTTTACGGTTGGCAAGGTTAAACCAGAAATCTCTGAAACTGTCGATTTCTAGGATTTTCTGATCTTAACTTGATTGCTCCAAAGCACAAAAAGGTGTTTTATCTCCACAAGTAAACACTGATCTTCATGGTTACCAAGGTTTAATAACATATCTCCCCCACTTGGATAGTACTTTACCATTTTAGATCTCATTTTACATGTCCCAAACTCAAAGATTTCAAAAGACAAAAAATGATTTATCTGTGCGGTAAGCACTGACTCAATTTATGAGCGCTTCGCATGCGAGTAGAGCAAAAAACAGTTGACATTGAGACAGAGTTAAAGGGGTAAAATCAGTTGGGGGGATCCTCCATAACCGATTTCGTTTTCATTGGAAATACCACAGGGTACTTGGGTACTTGGGCACTTCCCTCTTAATGGCTGTACAGCGAAAAATGCCTTAATACCTGGTAATTTTCAATATTTATTGCGCATTGTGTGGTATGACAGGCAAGAAAAAAACGGAATTACAAGGAGAATCCTTGCCATGAAGCGTATCCCTTTTTGGGGCGTCGAGCTCGTAAATATTTTGGCAAATTGCCCGTTGAACGTGCAGCGCCTAAAGATTGCTCCCTGGCATGCTGGGAATTATCATCTTTTGCCGGTTTTGTAGATGGCGAAAATTGTCGTGCTCAGTCCAAGATATTGATTAAATTCAACAGGCTGGAAAATACAAAAAAATACAGGGAGAAAAAGCCGCCAAGGGGTCTTACATAAACGCATTAACATTGGGCGTTAATGAAGCTCTGGCCGAAAAAACTAACATTTATATAAAAAGACAAGTCAACGATCTGTCTTCTGACTCAGGGACACTTGTCGGTTTTTTGAGTTTCTTGGGATCAAAAAAGATGGTCAACGGAATAATTAAGGCAGCTTAGCAATTCAGCGATCTGCAAGTCAACTAAAAATCTAATTTCGAAACCATCTGAACTTGACCCCTTATTTCTTTGCAGTGCCCTCTTGGGTTGCACTGCATTTGAAATGCAAATATCCCAATTAGATATCGTAGTCAGGTGATTCAAATAAATGCCGAAAAACGTGCACTTGGATTTGCATTGTTTAAAAAAATAAATGGGAATATTTTAAAAAGATTTAGACAGAGTTTGTGAAATATATTATTGGTATTACTATTTTGTATACCCCTAAAAGGCATAGATTTCAGGTATTATTTTAACAGTTCCTAAACCAAACCTTAAATGTAACCCATTTGTGGGCATACCAATGTTGAATTTGATCATTTCCGCACTCTGTGTTGGCCTTTAATTGTTAATTTTGTGTTTTTTTCGGGTGAGACGGAACTGGTTTTTGTCGCAACATTGTCGAGGCTAATCTTTCCTCCAATCGATAAAATTCCCATTCGAAGAAATCGTTAATAGTTCATTAGTTGGTTGCCGAAATGTGCGAGTTATGAGCATATTTTTTTGTAAGATCCCCCTATATCATCTATGGTTGGGTGAAGCGGAAAACCCTCTTTGGATCAAATAGTCATTACTTCTAATTGCATTTATGGCAATTATCCAATTCAATGGGATGGTGACAATGGCATTTTGCATATTCTAATTGAGGAACTAATGGAAAGGTTTGCCGGATGATATTTCTGATGATTGCTGGAATCGTGATCAGTCATTCACCGGATTTCTATAAAGTTCCCCCTTCATCAGGCCAGCCAACCTTGTGCGATCTCGGTTCTCTTTTATACTCCATTTGTTTGTCGGGGGAATTAGCACCCAGCCTCAAATAGCTCAATTTGCGGAAATGTAATTTCGGGTTTTTCTTTTGGCGTCCAATTAGCACTGCTTTTGTCCAAAAACTTTATAGCCGACACTTACATCTATCTTTTTTGTTATTAAATCTTTTAGCATTCTTCGTCGGTGGAGTGGCTGGATTTGGAGTTACTGCAGGTGCCCATAGATTCTGGACCCATCGGAGCTACAAGGCCAACACCGTACTGCGATCCATTCTGATGGTCTGCTACTGCGTGGCGGGACAGGTGAGTTTTTTGTAATTTTTGGAAAAAGATTGGGCATCCCTCGACCTCTAACACACACGTAATGCCACCTGAAGATCTTGTCCGCAATTTGCCAATTCACCACCTTCGTTTTTTCGCTTTTTCGGGGCTGTAATGCAATTAACATTAATTGCATCATTAAGTATAACAACTTAATGCCTGTCGCGACTGACAAACTGTAAAAATTGACAATTCCAACTACTCGGCAAAAGTGCTTTGTGTATCCCGCAGATACATTTGTCTTATTTAATGACCGCAGCGATTAAGCGCAGTCGCAGTAGCTTAGATGCGGAGCGTGGAAGATATATACGTACTACAATATATATACATAATACCGAGCGACCTGGAGATTAAGAGGAACAATCAAATTTGATGGCGTGCTAAATGAACCCCGCTGACCCACCAAAGATTGTCTCTTTTAGATACAGATATTAAAAAAAAATTCACATTTTAAAGATCAATTTGCTTTTATTTTAAGATTCATTTAAACTAGTTGGTTTTTTAGAATACTTTAATAATGAAGAAATTAAATGCATTATAATTTTTTTAGGCATTTATTTAGATTCTTTCAAATATAGTTTTTGCGATCGGTAATAATAGTTTGAAATTTAAAGTTAAAGATTAGAAATCCGACTTTTTTATATTTCTTATAATTTTTTAGGATTTTCTTGATCTAATATCAAATAATCCCATTTCAGAACACCCTGTATGACTGGGTTCGCGACCATCGGGTTCATCACAAATATTCAGAGACGGATGCCGATCCCCACAATGCCAACAGGGGATTCTTTTTCTCCCACGTGGGATGGCTGATGATGCTGAAGCACCCGGAAGTTCTGCGTCGTGGTCGCCAGATCGACATGAGTGACATTCTGGCGGATCCCGTGGTGCGGTTCCATCAGAAGTACTTCATCCCCCTGAAGACCTTCTTCTGCTTCATCTTGCCCACCCTGATCCCAGTTTATTGCTGGGGAGAAACCTGGACTCTCGCCTTTGTACAGCAGTGCCTCTTCCGCTACGTGAGCAGCTTGAACTTCACCTGGTCGGTGAACAGTGCCGCCCATCTCTGGGGATCCCGCCCCTACGATAAGTGAGTACTACAGGGGTACTTACACATGTTATTATTATGTCAACAAGATGCTGACATTTACTTATTGGATTGGGAGCACGAATGCAGGTCACTTTGCCAGTACTCTCATATTTTTCAAGGTGTTTATTATACATTATTCTGATGACATAGCAGGCGAATAATAAGTCTCACGTGTTAACACCTTTCAGATAAAAATAGAATGAAGAATGCGTATATAATACATAAAATATACACGAAGAAGAAGCACAGCTAAACAGCTTAAACTATTTTCATTGTTTTGTTTTTGATGCCAATTCATAAAGTAAATTCCAAAATATTTGTGTACCTACATATGTATATTTTTCAAAATATGATCTTTAGTTAAAAATATTTCAATTCAAAATCAAATATTTTTTAAAATTCTTAAAGATAAGATTTGATTTTATATAGACAAATTTATCTATCTGATCCCTTACCATCTCCCTCCTCAGGCGCATCATGCCCAGCGAGAACATCTATGTTTCCCTACTCGCCATGGGTGAGGGATGGCACAACTACCACCACGTCTTCCCCTGGGACTACAAAGCAGCCGAGCTGGGCAACTACACGGTGAACTTCACCACCATGGTGCTGGATGCCTTCCACAAGCTGGGATGGGCCTGGAACATGAAGCAACCCTCGAAGGAGCTGGTGCGTCGCACCCTGGAGAAGTACGGCGATGGCACCCACGCCTCCCAGATGGGCGGACCCGAGGAGTTCAAGGACGGCGTGGTGGCCGGAGCCACCATGGTGGGCCATGTCCACTACGCCGAGGTTCCCGATCCCGATCTGGAGTACGATGCCGAGTCCAGCAGCACGGAGAGCGCCAAGCTGGACGAGAACGAGAACGAGGGCGAAAGGATGAAGAAGTCCAAGAAGGCGGCCAACTAGGGATCTCGATGGTCGGGCGATCATAGAGGGATAAAGGGATACTGGCGTCCAGTCGTCCACAGGCATCCAGAGATCGAGATGGGCTCGCGGATGGATCACTGATGATGGGTTAGGATCATTAGGTCACTTAATCTTGCGTCTATGCGAGGGCGGGACATAGTCGATAATCGTTTTTTAAATTAAACCCTATTCTATTCTATATCATTATTCTATTATATCCTCACACCAGATCGAACCAACACACACCTGCACCGCAATGGTTAACACTCACACAAAAGAAACACCCACATCCACTCATTTTCGTATCTTCATTTGTGTAGGTTTAGGTATTTAGCAGATAGCACGGTACGACATAAGTTATAAGTCACACACAAAAGTTTACGTATAAAGCGACAACAACAAAATATATGCTCTCCGTCCGAGACAAATAAAATGAAAATAAATATTTACAAATAAAAACAATTCAAAAAATTTAAAAAAGACAATCGCATTTCAATTGGTCGACGATCGGAGGGATCTCTAAAAAGTATTGTGACTAATATCTCATCACATAATGTGAAGTAATGCCATTCACTTGTGATCTAAAGATCTGAACTTGGAAATATTTCAGGGTCTGGAAAAAAACTGACTATTTAAATGAGCCATAAGTGCGAAAATGGTTTTTGAATTAATTTACTCGAGATCAACAATTAACGTCTTGCCTTCAATTTTGAACTATTACTTCTAAGAAGCTCTGAAAATTCTATGAGCATATCAATTATGGTAAACAAGATGTGCGAAAACTGTTTGCGGTTATATATTCTTTTGGGTTTAACGTAACCGAGCCTCTATCAACAATTGACGTCAATGATAAAGTTGCGAAATCTGAAAACGAACCCATTATGTGAGTTCTGCTAGTGAGTCACAAAAGAATCAAATAGAGCCATGACATGTTAAGAATATACTCAGAAAAATAGGATTTAAAAATAAAAATTCTAGTTTCTAGTTTGTATACCTTTCAGTGGTTCTACTCTTCAGAGTCAATTATACTTTGACTTACAGATCTTACTACTTGTTGAATTTAGAGTGTTTTTAAGGCACTATTTGTTTGTCTGTTTCTTAGAAGTACAACTTGTCACAATAGGAAATTGACAAGATCGCACAAAAGCGTCTCAAGTTGATAAAAGATAAATGTGCTAAAATAAACATCAAAGGTTGAGAGGACGGCAATCGTATTTTAAATATATCTTAACAATTATTATAGGTGAAAATATCGCCCACTTTGAGAGACTCATTATTAAGTTATTCAGTTTAGATGCAAATTAAGGTAGCAAACCCACGATGGGATTTCCCCTTTCATCCACCCACTGAAACGAAACTATTTACCGGTCGCACTTAATGACAATTTAAAGCTGTGACGAAATTAAGATGCAAATGTAAATGGAAATGGGAAATGGAAACGCCTTTTGTCATTGTTAAGACCACCATCTAAAACACAATTATGTGAGTTGACGAGGAGGTGGGACTCGAACGGAGTTAGTCGCTGTTTTTAGGCGCCAACTGGTTTCTCTTTACTTTGGACTACGTGACGAAAGAGGCATCTCACCTGGAGACCAAGAGATCGTATAGATAGTTCGGTGGCAGGAACTGACGCAAGGAACCGCCACTAGACGTCATGACTATAATAGTTCCTTAATCGATTGGTTAACTTCCTCACCTGCCCCTTAGTTCCTACATTTGGACAGGCCTACGTGCACTTGGCACGTACACCGAATACCCAACTGAAACTGCATCTCAAGAACGAGAACCTTGAAAAGGTTCAAGCCATCAGACATTCAAGGGGATTCCTGGAGCATCGCCCCTTTTAGCATGCGTCTCCAGCCTCAAGTGGATGGGAGTTCCCGATCGACAGAAAACTTCATTACTCCTGCCCCACTTTGTTTTTATTACTTGTATGCTTACAGAGGGAAATTACGATCACGAATATAAATATTTATGAGCAATTTTCTGCTTTATGATATGAAAAAATAATGTGATATAAGTAAATAATTACTTCCTCCAGAATGGAACAAATCGTAAGCTAGTCAGTCTTTAGCTGAGGTTAAAAACAAAAATTTCAAGGATTTAATGTTTTTTCGTAAAGAAAATATGTAAATAATCTCCTGAGATATAATGTAATTTCTATTGCTGTGTACTCAACCTGTACTTCAGTTGTCAGGAAGGTCAAGTGCTTTGCCAATATCAACTAACCATACAATGCCCAAAAAATGCCAAAAAAAAACAGACAAAATCGTCATCTCATTAGCGTTTTCTGTGTGGCTGGGCTGTCATCGTCACCTAATTGGTGACGAGCCAGTGGTCACCAAACGAGCACTCAATTTAGCCCATTTTTGTGGGCCTAGTTAATTGAAGGCTGTGCCAGAGGGGCTGGATCGGGATTACATCAACCTCAAAACATCGGAGGGCAGTCAATGGAAAAGAATTAATGGGTGAGTGAAAATCACCTAGGCCTAGTAAATAAATTTATTTCTTCTTGGAATTTTCGGACTTTTAATTTGAATGAGTTCATTCTGACATCCCTATGATCTTTAGAACCTTATCAGCAAAATCAACTTTATAAAAATACTCGAATATCCTCTTTTACGCCATATAATTAATGTTATGTAATGAAGTTACTTAATTAAATCTTAAGAAGTCTAATATTCTAAAATACGACAAGCTTCATTTTGGTTACATTATTTTAACAAGTTTTTTTTTGCAAAAGAGATTTCAATGGATTTAAATCCGAAAAATGTTAACCAACTAAAACTAACAAATCAGAAAAGAATTTTAATCGAAAGATTTCTTTTTCATTTCAGCTTAACATATAAAATCATTCGACTAAAAGAAAGAAACGACAAGAAATGATCAAGAAGTTTCTGCGAAATATAAGAAAAAGAACTTTGATCTCTTCTTCAAACCGCACCTCTTAAAACCAAAAACGTGCTATATTACTTTCATTTAGTAGATTCCAGATCTCTTAGCTTTTAAGTTCACCGTTCGACTTAGATGTTATTAATCATTCTGCTTAGCTATTTTTAACAGGCATTAATTAATATTTTTCTGGTTTCGAGTGGGAGATAAACAAATGAATCTGTTGCCATCTTGACCGTTAGTCCCTTTTCGGGGTAAACAAAAATCGCCCTTTGCTGAACTCTGACTGCTTTATCTAAAGATTTATGCGAAATATATGAGATTTCTTTTCGAGCATTTCCCCCAATTTGGCTCGGCAAAACAGCCAAATTTGGTAAGCGATAGATAGGCCTATGAATTTGATTTGCATAATATTTCTGGTGCTGGCTGGTTTATGGATATTTTGGCAGATCAGGTCCGCCTGCGGTTAAAAAATAAAGGGCCTTGATCGCCACACGAGAGTTGTGTGGGTGGTCCACCACCTCCGGCGGTTTCTTCTCTGAAGATCGGTTCGGTTTGTCTTTCTCCGGGGGAAATAAATAAATTAAATACCCGCCACAATTGCTCGTTAAAGCTGTTTAATTACACGGCGGGAAAAAGGTTGCAGCGGTCGTAAAGCAATCAAGATAGCGGTCATTTAATGACGTGACCGGGCGACAATTTCCAATTCCTAAGCGCGCTGACCAGCAGACCGTTAGTAACCTTGTGATCCGGACGCCGGAGTTTCGGTGACGAAAATCCGAAGCCCCGAAATTTGCGTAACTTTGGCGAATGGAAACAGAAAGCTCCGTCGCCGGCACTCCGAATTCCCTCCTCCAAGATCTACGGCTAATTGGAAGCCGATGCGATGACATCGAAGACCTGTACCTATAATATAGGTATGGGTAGTATACACCCATGATCAGCCTCTCATTCGGAACTGGTATCCACAAGATACCCATCTATGATATGGGCTCTCGAGTGTGTCTATGCAATTGCCGATTTTGAAAGGGCACCTCTATTTTGATGTATTTTGTAACCTGTGTGCGTGCTTTCGGGTCTTCAGGTTTTCGGTTTTTCTCGCTGGTCCATGGGTTTGATGTTTTAGTCCAGCATTTGATTTATTTGCGCTTTTCGGCCCATTTCGGGCGTTTGGCTTTGAAATTGATTTCTTCGATGGCGGAGAAAAGAAACCGCTTTGTGGTTCCATTTTTATTGTCCCGCCAGCGGATTTTGCAATGTGTCGAAACCCGTTTTAAAAATTCGTCAAAAAGACAATGCGAACAAAAAAAATAAAGAGCGCTAAAACATACAAAACATATTTAGTTCAAACGTCTTGTGACTTGCACAAAATGCTTTGAATAAGTGAGACATCGGGCATATGGAAAAGAGTATCTCAACAGCCATATTTGTATATTCGCCCGTTCATGGTGCCGTTGTAGATCCGACGAACCGACGAGCGTAGCCAAAGCGACTGGTTTTCACGTGCTCGTGCTTCTCCCCCGATTATGGATGCATTCTGCAAATCATTTTCATTTTCCGCGGCATTTGGAGTTGCGAAAACCCTTCAGCTGTCTGTCAAAAATTGCAGTTACACGGCTATAAATTTACCTGTACTTGTATCTAAGGTCAATTGATCCGCGTGGCAGATAAATTATATCACCTATCCCATCACTTTCATCTTGCCAAAAATATTCGCACTAATATCTCTATCTGCGGATTAATATGCAAAATAGGCCATAAAATCATATGATAAAAACAAATTTAGCTTGCTTTTAAATTTGTAAAATCATAAACATATTTGATCTTATCAAATATTTATCATCGAGGTTTTTAGGTTTGCAAATTGGAGGTTTTATAACAAAGCTTTCAGTAGTCAGGACTCAAGTAATGCCTATAAAGATTACAATCTTTGATTGGCTATAAAAAACTCTTTAACAAATCATTGCTGCTGAAGAATTTATGAAGATAGGAACCATTAAACAGTAATGAGATGAAGAATCGGTATTGTTCCTTGGTAACAAAAGGTTACCAAACATAATTAAGATTATTTTTTAGTGTGTAATCCCTGCTGGCCTGCGGCAACTCCCGCTCAGCCATTCAGTCAGTCGGTTTATCAGTTCGTGGGACTGGCTAAAACCTCCGAGTTGCAGCAACCGCTTTGACATTTGTCCCCCTTTGTCAGCAGTGGTCATGTGGACAGTGTGCAGTGGACGGTGGGCACCGGACAGTGAAAAAGACAGGGCTTGCGCAACTTTGAGGCCAGTTTTTCTCGCTGGCCCCGCAGACATTTTTAAGTGCACGCCATTTCCGGAGCCCCGGATCTCGGCGGCTGCATTTCGGAGCACTTGCCAGCGCAATTTGCGATTCGGAGCTAATGACATAGACCTTAGAGTTTCAGAGGTGGAATTTGCATAACTTGATAATGGGAGTATGTGAGCTTAAAGCTATTTATTTGCTTAGATATTGCGGATGCCGAAGATGGGTGACTGCCTGACGAACTCATCGAGCTTGGACTGAAACAGCTCCGAGGTGACCACTGTACCGGGCGTCCACAGTGGATCCCGCACCACGAACTCCACCCACACCTTGGCATACAGTTGCTGCAGCAGCTCCTTCACATTGATGGCCGTCGTATCCGTGTTGAGAACAAATCTGAGGGGAAAGAAAATTATTCGTTTAGAGGTATTTATAGAAAGGGTAAATGGTATTCAGTGTGCTAGGAACCAAAAATGATTTTAAAGTAGAGTACGGATTCAAATAGACAATTAACTCTATTATTATTATGATTATGAATCTATAAGTATTTCCAAATTTTAAAATTTGTAGTATAGAAAATTTCGAAATAGAGGATGTATAACAAAATCTCAAAATAACAAAATAAATTGATAATATTGACGGAGTTAATAGAGATTTACAATACAATTTTCCAAGTTCCTTTTAGTTCTTAATAAACTCACTTTAATCCCGAGGGAGTTTCCAGATAATGTAGGGCGTAGCGATTGGTCTTATAGTAAAGGAACCCTTCCCGCGGATCGTGTGGCGATATCTTGCTCACAAAGGACTTAATGGAGAAGAGCATTCCGTAGGTGAGTTTGGCTTCCTAGAAATACAAATATTTAATGGATTTAAAATGATATTCCTGAATTTGTATCTTACCTCCTCGCGGGTGATTCCAGATTTCTTGGTGCGATTCCATTCTGCGTAGTGGAGGAGCGTTCCGAACTTGTCGAATATGTACAGATTAAAGATGGTCATCTTGTTAAAGCTAATCGGAATGGCATTAGCCCTCAAAACAAGGGTTCTTTACAATTTTATGGAATGAATCTACTTTATTTTCCACCGCAAAACAACAGTGCTGCCGATGTAGCTATTTATATCTATTTATCTAGCGATTTAAAAACAATAACATTGGAACGGTGCTGCCAACTTGCTTCATTTTAATACTAAAAAATACTAGAAACAGCTGATCAAGAATACTGCCCAAAATACGTTACTTTTATTAATTTTAAAAGTATTTTTTTAAAGTAAAGCAAATATTTAATATGAAATGTAATATGAAATATTCAAGTAAATTATTATTACAAAACGGTGTACAAAACAATTTTAATTAATGCCTTTGCCGGGTTTATTTGGTTTGTGAAAAACAAAAATTTTGATCAATGTGTTTAATTATTTTACTTTTTTCTGCTCTCCTAATTTATCCTTGGATTTTGAAGAAAAGGTCCCCTTTTTCTTTTTATTCTTGTTTTCATCTTGTTCGGGAATCTCTATAACGAAGGGGTACTCAATGGGATTGCTCACTTGTTCACGACTGGTTGCTGTTGTTTTTTTCTGGGTAATATCCTGCTTCTTATCCTTATCCTTAGCCGGTTTTGGGGTAGCAATGACCGCCTTCTCTGTCGAACTGGAACTCTCGGTGTCGTCGCATTCAACCGTTTTGGGATACTCGTCAAACTGGATAGTCTTTCTTGATTCAGTTGAGGTTCGAGAAGCACTTTTGGGGGCATTATTTATATGGACTATTTTTAGGAGAGAAATATAGAAACTCTTACCTTTCTGTGCCAAAGGTGGACTTTTTCCTTATACTACGCCTGTCCATTTCAAAGTATTGGATTGGGCGAGCGGTGTTGTCTATAACGATGATTGGCATCCTTGTTGGGATTACCTATTTTAAAAAATTTTATTTTTGTATTTATATAAGTGATACATTTCCCCCAGTTTACTCACTTGACTTAAAGTTCCTTTGGGCTTCCCTCTTGTCGAATTGACGATGATTTCCTATAAAGTTATCCTGTTTGGTGAGCATAGCTCCCTCGGAGGTGGGACTACGGAATCCAGCTGCCCCACTCGCCTGTAGACGGCGAGCCTGAAACTCCCGATTCTCCAGCTTCAATCGCTCGAAGTGATCATCCGGAAATGGACGTCTAGTTACCCCGGAATGCCAGTTGTTGCTCCTTCGCTGTTTGGATGGTTCCTCCGGACGACGACTTTGAGGGGGATATGATTTCTCCGCAGGACGACGGGACTTGGATTCGCTACCACCTCCGCCGTCTCTATGATTATTCGAAGGGCGACGGGATTCTCCAGTTCCCGGGGGATGTGAACTCCTTCTGGTTTCCTTTATTTCCCCGGGTAATCTTCGCGATTCTCTTCTAGATTCCCTTTGGTTGTCCCTCATTTCGATACTAGTTATGTTGGTTAACCCCCTCGATTCATTGGTATTGCTTGTTATCTTTTGCACTTTTCGAGATTCCTTCATTTCACCACTGGTTAATTGGGGTAACCATCGCGATTCTTGGGTATGACTGGTTACTTTGGGAACCCTTCGGGATTCTGTAATTTCCCCAGAGGTTATATTGTGCAACTTCCTGGCTTCGTTGGATATCCTACGGTATTCACCACTTGTGATGTTAGGAAGTCGCTTTAGTTGCTCACTGGTTACTTTGGAGAGCCTTTTGGTCTCTACGATTCCACTGGTAATGGTCGGAATGCGCATGACATTCGCCATCCGCTTGGATTCTCCGGAACCTCCAGGCGGAGCACTTCCTCCACCTCCCTGGTGAGTTCTTTTGGAGGAGTGGGGCTGTTCCGATTCCGAGTTAACAGATCTCCAGTAAGGACGATCTTTTCGGTGTTTTCCCGCATCCTGCGATTCTCGCTGAGCTGAGCGACCTCGAGATCCCCGAGAACCCCGCCTGTTCTCCTCATCCTGTCTTTTTCTAGCATCCGTTTGAAGACTAGTGGTTCGCAGATTTTTCGTTTGCAAAACAGGCAGTAGCATGGGCATATTAAGGTTATTCGGCGGGGTCATCAATCCACTGGTATATTGCTTAACTTTTGGACTGATTAAGTACTCTCCTAGTTAAATAAAATAGTTTATTTCAAGTTTTCTCTTAACTTTACGGCCATAATTACCTGGGGAATCCTCAGTATCAGATGAAAAAGGTGGCAAGTTGGCAGAAGTGCGGACATTTCGGAACATCTTCATACCCCTGTGACCAAATTGGCTGATTTCCGGAAAGAAGGTCTCCCACTGAGGGTTTATAAGTTAAGCAGAAGGTGACTTTCAGAAACTAAAGTACCTACCAGATAGAATATCCCGTAGGCCAGGAGAATGGCCAACAGCAGGACGGCCGTGAACTTGGTGAACTGCATCAGGATGAAGAGAACGACACCTGCAAGCACCTCCGTATGGGCCACTCCGAGGAACTCCAAGCAGTGCCGAATCTCGCAGATCCTCATCGTGACCAGGTAATCCACCACGGAGTTAAAGGAGTCGCAGGCGCATCTGATTGCATCCGCCATGGTTCAAGTTTAGGGGGATGAATGGGTACCAGTGAAGGCATTTCTCCCTGGCACAGGGTTTCCGAAAAAGGGCTAAAATGCGTCTACACTTAACTGCCCAAGCAAAGGCAATTGGATTTTAAATTCCGGATGCCGGAAGTTATGGAGAATGGCGGTACCATTGTACAAACTTAAAAAAAAACCTTTTTGCCAAGTAGTAGAAATTGCGAACTTAATTTGTATACCATTTGCTTTTGTTTTATGTTGTTTAAAATATTATTAACTTTAACTATTTGTACTAAAAAATTATTTTAGAGAGTTTAAATTTTCCCGCCAAAAAATGGTAGTTTCCAAACAATAAAAGGTCGTTTTTGGTATATTTCTGTTTTCTCCGGTCCCACTGCAAAACAGCTGTTTAGCAAACTTTGTTTTTGTTTTTGTTTTTACAAGAGGGATTTCTTATCAGCGAGTTTTATCTAATGTAACTATTATAACTACTGTTTATCTGGGTTTTAATAAAAAGCGAATAATCCATTAAAAACGCTACAGTTAAATGCTAAGACGCACAATGGCGGAATTCGACGTGAAAGCCGGTTTGCAGCACGTGTTGAAGCGAATTGACGAGGTGCTTCTGCAGCGTCCCAAGGTGAAATAAACTCAGTTATCTCTCCTTTATGATCTTATACAAGAATATCTTTATCTTTCCCACAGGAAGTGCAAGCTCCAAGACCCCTACTCGTCGCAGTTAGCAAAACAAAGCCAGCGGAGGCGGTAATAGAGGCCTACGAGGCCGGACAAAGGGACTTCGGGGAGAACTATGTGCAGGAACTGGAGGAGAAGAGCCGCCATCCGGACATCCTGGCCAAGTGTCCCGACATCAGGTGGCACTTCATTGGCCACATGCAGAGCAACAAGATCAACAAGGTCAGCTTTGTTTGGACTGACGATCTGTAGACCCATTTAAAAAGGGAATTTTAATGAAGAACTCGTCCATTCCTCGAGTGTCAGAGAAGCTCCTAAAGATTTGTTTAAAGTTTTCTATAAAGAACTACAGGGAATGACAGTCTAAATAGTTGTTAGGGCTCAACCTATAGGGTTTCAACATAGCTTTAATAGATGGAAATGCAACAAGTTGACTAGCATTTCTCAGTCAATCCTCTACCACAAAAGAAGATTTGTCTTTTGATACGTTTTTAATAAGTTAGAAGGGAAATAGATATGTTATTTGTATCTAGACGTCGGATTTTATAAAACTTACTACCAATTTTTAGGAAAAAGCCTTTATCCATTATCAAGGATTTAAGCCATCAAGTATCACTGGTAATCAAATGTAACAAAACAGATATCACCTATAACCCAACGTCTAGTAATTACCTTTGAAAACACAATTTTATTCACATAATTATTCCTATAAACTTTAAACGATTTTAAAGCTATACTGTGTAAAAGATTTTTAAAGTACTGCAGCTAGAACGGAAAATTTTTTCAAATTCGTAAATGCTTAAAATGTTTATAATTTTATAATTATTCAATTGATGAGACAGAAATGCGAAGAAAGATCTTGAACTCTTCATACCTTAAAATTTGTAATGTTACGCTAATTTAAACTAAGGAAAATTGCTCATTCCTCTAAAATATTTTGTTATTTTCTTAACTCTCCATTTAGGTTCTTTCGGTGCCTAATCTGCATATGATCCAAACAGTGGACAGTGAGAAATTGGCCACCAAACTGGACGCAGCCTGGTCTAAAGTGCAGCCAACTCCTGAGCAGCCGCTGCAGGTGCTTATCCAGATTAACACCAGTGGTGAAGATGGTAAGTCTGGTTTTTTCAAGTTATCAAACTTTACACTCACTAACCTAAATCCTAAACCCTAGTCAAGAGCGGCATCGAAGCCAAGGATGCCCCTGCACTCTATCAGTTCATCAGGAGCAACCTGAAACACCTGAACCTGATGGGCATAATGACCATTGGGGCCTTTGGCTTCGACTACAGCAATGGACCCAATCCGGATTTTGTGTCCCTAATGCAGGTGCACCGATCCATCTGCGAGGCGAACTCCTTTGCCCCCGATTCGGTGCTCGTCTCCATGGGAATGTCCAATGACTTCGACAAGGCGGTGAGTTGGAACCCGACTGGCCAAGATCCGTCTGTATAATCCAAACTATTCCCTTAGATCGAAATGGGCAGCACAGTGGTACGCGTTGGCTCTTCTATTTTCGGCCATCGGGCGGCCAAGGCGTGAGGAGAGGAGCGGAGATGCCTGAGGAATGCGCTGCGGGCACTGAATACAGTTGATTCCCAATGACGTCCGACCTCCCGAATGGGCAGCCTCCAAGTTCGCCTATGTATCAGGTGGAACTCTGTGTATACCTATAGTAAATCTCGTTGAAGATGATTTGGCGTTTATATTTAGAAAACCATGAGATAAACAAATGTTACGTGTGGGCTGTTATATTTCGCCCAAATTTGATTGTTAACCTCTCTCCACAAACAAAGCTTCCAGAGTGTCAAAACCATTAATATTCCCAGATACTTTATGCACCTTGGAAAACTTAATACATTTGGCGCAGTTTTCATTAATTTTAACATTCCTTTGACTGTGTATTTTGCTCGTTTTTTGCAATTTGTTCTATTTATACTTTTCGCGCACATTCAATGCTACATTGCGTATTAGATTGTGGGCAGTTTTTCCTTCTATTTCTTCTTGTTTTGCTTGGCTCGAGGCCAAAATGTCGCCTGGTTACGTGCCAAAATTGCAGCGCCAAGAGAGTTTTTCGCCGAAAATCACTTTCAATGGAGCACGAAGAAGACTGCAGCCGCCAATCGATTTTCATTATGTCTGATCGATGAATTATGAAGGCTTTCTCGCACGGATCCCATCATTAATTGAGATATTTTCCGTTTGATATTCATGCATTGAGCCTTCATTAATAATAATATTAGCAAAAGGAGGGAACATTTTTAATGTAGGTGGCAAAAATGACGTCAGATTAATGTTGCTTGAATAAATGTTTTGCTTACTATTAATCATCGAAATATTTTTATTGCAAAAGGCTAAGAACCTTCAAGAAGTCGCACCTACATATTTTCAGACAGAAAAACATATTTTTATGTTAGACCTCTCAAAGCTATTATGTCAAAGAATTTTTATATTCATACAAATATTTATGTTTACTATAATATATGAAAAATATTTGGTAACAGTTAATAATAGATTTTAATTGCTTGTTACAAATGACAACTACAATAAGGAATTAATCTATAGTTTGTTTTAAAGGTTAAATATCTATTGTTTCTATTTGCATTACATTTTACATTATATTATTAGGTATTTGAAATTTGCATTATCTGAGTCACAGTTCAATAAAGATTCTTCAAAATCATAATATTTAGTTTAATATATGTAGTAACAGGGTTAATGTATCAATGACGTGATAATACAATGTTTAGCTGACATGATTAAAATTGGAAAATGGAAAACCTGAAGTCTTCCCATTGTTATGCAATGTCCATGGATGACTAGCGTATAGATAAAATCAGATGTTTATTCCACATTTGTTGCCGAAATAACTCTGGTCCAATATCGGGTTCGTTGGATATTTATGCGACACGAAATCCGCTCGATCTCTGTTCTGCGTACATATACCATACAGATCTATAGATTTGGAATTCTCGGCGCTCTATTCATATTGCACAATGTACGGGAGGCATTTCGAAAAACAGAAAAGAAACGTAGGCAAGGCAAAACATCGAGTATATAGGCGTGAATAGACATTTAGACATATGCTATATGTTGAACATATACTTATATATATGATGCCAAGGGAAATGTAGGTGATTTCAGCGCAAGAGGACACCTTTAGGAGGAGGGTGGCCTCTAGAAAAGAGCAAAATAAAATAAAAGAAAACAAAACAAAAATCTGAAGACGGGGAAATGTATCCACAACAGAGAGCCAGAGCCAAAATACGAACCAATACGAATCCGAATCGAAAGCACCGAAATAAATTCCGAACATATGTATAGGCTTCTGCTGCCCAAAAGCCAAAGCCAAAAGCATTTTCTCTGCGTTTTTAAAATTAGATTTTTGATTAGAGCAGCGCCCGATGAGTAAACAACTCGGATACCATGGTATACCATAGGCTATGCTATAGCTATGCTCTGGCTATATCTATATAGATATAGCCGCCCAGCACCCCACCTATCGCCTGGGCGGACCTCGCCTTGCAGATACTAAAAAAGGCAGCACGAATATTGCAGATACAGATACAGCGTACTAGCGAATGCCACCCGAAGATGCCCGAAGTGTGCCGAACCCCCCACGATCGGCCCCAATGGGTGGAAGAAGCAGAGCTCCTCCGAGCTCTTAAAACATCATTGTCTTGGCGATAAAATCAGCCAGAGATTCAGTGTGCTCTGACGGCTCGACTCGATTAGACAACACATCCAAGTTCAGCACCATGGTAAGGATACGTCCAGGAATACATATCACCCGAACTGAACTGAACTATACCGAACTGGATCCCAGTGCCTGGATATAAGCAGCAAGGATAATGCCAATTAGTGCATCAGTGAATCAGTTGCATTTGAGAAATACCAAGAAGATACGAAATATGAAGTGAACTTTAACCAATGGTGACCCCGATTCACCGTATTCGTATAGTGAGAATGTAGTGCCAGACAATTCTATAAATGGATCGGTCCGAAACCGAGTGTTACGCGTCAGTAACGAAATCCGATATCCGCGTCGGGCAGCTTATGTAATATGCGTCCGGGCTATTTATAGCCAAGTGGAAAACTTTTCGCCCCAGATACATATTTTCTGGCCTGAATGGATAACTTTTATACGAAGTAATTCTAATAGGAGATCCTTCTAAATGGAGAACATTCCTAAAAGCTACCTGTAAATGAAACACTTTCTAAAGGATATCTTTTAAATTAAGTAGTTCAAACTGGATAGACTCGTTTAATACATTTCTCAATAGTATGACTTTCAAGTTTCTGAACAAACTGTAGGACCGAACTGACTGCCTATATCCCAACTACTACCTTCAAACCCCTTACTAAACCCCTTCTTTCCACCCACAGGCCGATGAGAAGAAGAAGGTTAAGAAGAAGAAGACCAAGGAAGAGGGTGGTACTTCCGAAACCGCTTCTGAGGCCGCATCCGAGGCAGCAACCCCGGCACCAGCTGCCACTCCTGCCCCGGCCGCATCCGCCACTGGTTCGAAGAGAGCGTCGGGCGGATCCCGCGGCTCCAGGAAGTCGAAGCGCGCTGGCTCCTCGGTCTTCTCTGTCTTCTCCCAGAAGCAGATCGCCGAGTTCAAGGAGGTGAGTCTAGGATAGGTTTAGATATCATGTGGCCCAACTTCATGTCACGGCGAAAGCGAACCGATCATCCCATACCATCTATATGCCATCCATGCCAAGTCAAGTTACCAAGTCACCAACCCACTCTCTCTCTTTCTCTCTATCTCTCTCTCTGTTTCCGTTCGGAATTGGATCGATCCATTAGGCCTTCCAACTAATGGATGCCGACAAGGACGGTATTATTGGCAAGAACGATCTGCGCGCCGCCTTCGACTCCGTTGGCAAGATCGCCAACGACAAGGAGTTGGACGCCATGCTGGGCGAGGCCTCGGGTCCGATCAACTTCACCCAGTTGCTGACCCTGTTCGCCAACCGCATGGCCACCTCCGGTGCCAACGATGAAGACGATGTTGTTATTGCTGCCTTCAAAACATTCGATAACGATGGTCTCATCGACGGTGACAAATTCCGCGAAATGCTCATGAACTTCGGTGACAAGTTCACCATGAAGGAGGTTGATGATGCCTACGATCAGATGGTGATCGACGACAAGAACCAGATCGATACCGCCTCCCTGATCGAGATGCTCACCGGCAAGGGTGAAGAGGAGGAGGAGGAGGCCGCCTAAGTTATCCAACTAGGGCAACCACCGATCACATCCTAACTTCTAACTCAGCATCCATATTACCAACAGCCAGAATCAGAACGTTAAAGAAATCAATCAGTCAAATCAGTAATAATAAAACGTAATTAAAAGAAACGCTCGTTTACATATATATGTAGATTCTCAGTATCTTGTAATCTCTTTTTGTTACCCATCACCAAGTACCAAGTACCAAGTACCAAGAACCAACACCACCAACAACCAGATCAACAACATCCGATCAGAACTGAAAATGAACTTCTTCAGCAACATTTTGGTAGCGATCAGAACCATTTACCATATGTATCTGTCCATCATAGTTAGGGATACTTACGATCACGTTCACAAGAACCGATGCGTTAGTTTTCTAGTTGATTTACTGTTAAATTTTACACGTAAAATTTATAAAACAAATGCTATCTATTTTATTTAAAACACCTATAAAATCAACAAAAAAACTTAAAAACAACAACCAAGCCGTGTCTATTTTTATATATCGCTGAGCTAAAGAGATGAATACCAGAGATCGAGATCGAGATCGTAATGAGGATAAAGGATGTTAAAAAGGATGATATAGGGATGATGTTGATGGGTAGCCAGGCTGGATTCGTTAGTTCTGGACCCACGAATTTGAATTTGAATTTGATTACGATTATGATTATGAACCACTATGAATATGAATTTATTAGCCAGTTTTGTGAGTTTAATGTTTTTGATGATGTTCGTTAAATCTCGCAGGACCAGGAGAGAGAGAGGCAAAATACCTATAGCAACCTATATTATTAGGTAATATTTAACTGAGAGCCAATTATTTATCCTATTCTATCAAAACAATATTTATCGTTATGCATATCTAACGTTCGTTACTCAATTTCTATTTCAATATCAATTACGATTATCAGTTATGAGTTATCAATTATTATTGCAAGTTATCGAGAGTTAGGCTAATAACAGAGAAACATTAAGTTCATTCACTCAAATTGTTTAATGCGAATTTACATAACTTAACCACCACTATCACCACAACTTTCTGCTTATGAACTATCAGCGTTATAAACAAACCCAAACAAAGAACCCAATATGATATCTGAAATATGAAGAAACGATCAAACAACCAACCCAGTGTTTCTAGTTAATGCGTTTCGAAGCTTCGAGGAGGATCCTCCACCCCCCCGTGGGATTTTTGATACGATATGATGTGGGGTGGGGGGGTTTTAGTTTGATTAAGGTACCCACAACCACTAGTACCTAGGCTGATCGGAAGAAGCCACTATATATACTACTGTATACTATGTACTAACACTCAAAACTCAACACGAGCACACACTCTACACTGCACTACACACCAATCCATTTCAAAATGCAACATGCAACAAGTTGTTAAATGCGAATCGAATCTTTACTTCAGTATAAATTAAGTTATACACGGCAAGATGAGAAAAAATCTGAAAATTTTTTAACCCGGTCAGAAATATTAACAAAAAAACGAACAAAAAAAAGAACAAAGAATAGAAAACAAGTAACTGTTTTTATACAACATAACTAGATGATGATACAATGACGAAGTCTTGGAATAAAGCAAAAGCGAGTCGTCTTGAAAAAAGAACAACTAAGTGAATGGAGTTTGACTTTCTCAGGGGAAAGGGGTTCGGGTTTCAGGGGTATGGATAATATTATATGTGACTCAGCTGAGCGGTGCCGGAAAACAAGTTCCAGATCAAAACAAAACCACCGATAAAGCTGGGGAGCTAGGGGAGCCAACAAAGCAGTGGCAAACTCCCCACACTTGGCCAAGTCGATGGCCAATACCCAAACCTTCGAGCGACCAGTTTCCAGTCGAGTTTTTGACGCGCACGCATGCGCACTACAATGTGAAAGTCAGCCACGACGACTCACGATTGCCACATTCACTTAAAGAGCTCTTTTGTTGCGGAATATCTGGTTGTTCCGGAACCAGAACTATGGCTCAAACGGGACACCTTTTGTGGTTCTCAACGGTCTGCTGGATTGCATCATGGATAAGTGGAGGTAAGTGCTGGAATTCCCATCAATTGTATGCAGATCTTGCGTGGCGAAAGAAAACGAAAGTATCTCAAGCTGTGTCTTTGGATATCTCACCACACCTAGAGTAAACTGGAAAAAATGTTATTAAATATTGAAAGAAATATCATAAAATACCTATAAAAAAATTATAGATCATATTTATTCAGCATGGAAATAAGTTTTTCATAGGCTCTATATAAGTAAAATATTTATTGTCAAGCTAGATTAAATTTATTTTTTGGTCAGCTATGATTTTAATCATACTTTTTTTCCCTGTACTCTTGTTATAACTCACCATACTCTGGTTTTCCCACTCTCACTCTCTACTTTTGTGTGACTCTCAGCTGATGCACAGCATCTGATCGCCTACATCTCGCAGAGGGGTCTCCATGGAGAGATTACTTTTCGGCAAATGAATGCCAGCACGGTGGAGATCAAGGCCAATCTGGAGGCCACTCTGCAGTATCCCGATCAGGTTTGGAGTTGGGGAGTACGAAGATTCCCCGTGGATTACTCGAACACAGATCCCGAAGAGCGCTGCGAACTGAGTCGCTTGGGTAGTCAAGTTTTGTCCTTCGATGAGGATTTGGAGTACCTAGTCCTCCCCGGAAATGAAACTTCCTCGTGGGAACGCAATATGCAGCTAATTGGAGATCGAGGCATTTGGGGCAAGTCACTGGTTCTCACCGAGGTCAACTCTAATTTCCGGATTTGTGCCACCATAACAACCATCCAAAGTTCCGTGGAGCATATGGCGGAGGCTCGATTCAATACTCCCATCGCAGGATCTGTTCACTTTCGTTGGTTGGCTGCTGCCGAAGGAGCCGTTGGGGATACCTTAATCTACTCGGATCTTTATCATATTAGAGAGCAACCAGCTCTTCTCGAAGAAGATAAGAGTCAAGCTGGAACTTTTACCCAGCACCATTGGAAAATCTACGTGACGGATATCTTCAAGCATGACCATCATCGCACCGAGGATAATTGCAATTTTCTTCAGTTGGTCTTTGATCCTCAGGGCGGTGGCGCTGGCAAGGGAATCGGCGACCTGGATGCTCGTCTGGGGAGGATTGGAGTGGCCAAGAATGCCCTGCGTTCGCCACAACGCAGTGTTTTCAGGGATGCCAAGCTCGCCCTGTTGCCCTCGGATCTCACTATTCCACACAGGACTCTCTACCTGGTACTTTTCGATAACCAACATCCGGATTCTTATCTCGCCTGTACCAAGATTCGTCATGTTCAACCGTTGACTTACAAGTGAGTGGGATTTTACTGCGGTTTTCTTATAGAATTTATAATAATTATATTAATTTTTGTAACCACAGAACTTTCATCAACTCGGGTGGAGTCAAGGGAGAAGTGACCTTCACTCAGCGTTCCAAATTCGACCCGACTTTCCTCAATTTCACCCTGGGAGCTCCGCTTTCCCAGCGCGTGAGTCGCAAGTTTGCCGAGGATGTGGCCGCCTTCAGGATACACAATCTACCACCGGTGCCCCAGAGAATGGGTCATGAGGACTACTGTTGGACCACCGGGGAGATGCATAATCCCCGCGAGATAAACGATAACATACCACCGCCTGGCTATGGAACCCAGGAGCAGTATCCCCTGGGCGACCTCTCGGGGAAGCTGCAGGGTCGCAACAAGGGTTACTTCCATCAGTATGTCCTGCCAGGAACGAGTTCCGAGCTGAATGGCCTCTATTGGGATGTCTTTCTGCCCCTTCAAGGACGTCACAGCATCGCCCAAAGGAGCCTGGTCATATACACCTTCAATCGATCTGATGTGACTAATATTACCAAGATGATATGGGGCTGTTCCAGCCTGGGGGAATATCAAAGGAATGGAATCTACCAACGTGACATGATTACGGCTCAGGTGAGATATAAAATTAAAATTCTTTCTTATAAAATATTTAATTTGTGTATCCTAATTTCCAGGTTCTTTTCCGTTACCCAGTGGTGGGTCGTGTGATCATGCGACAGCCGGCGGAGCAGCCTTGGCAGGACACCACCGTTCTATTTGAGTACCTAATCCAGGCGGATGGTTCCACACAGAATACCACCCGTGATCATCGTTGGGCCATCCATAGCAATGCACCTGGAAAGGATTTCTATGACTGGCAACAGAGGTGCATCTCGGCAGGACCTGTCTTTAATCCATATCGAGTAGATTGGGGCAATCGAAGTGTGGATGACTTTTGCCAACCAAATTTACCCTCGATGTGCCGAATGGGAGCCATGGATTCGAGATTGGGAACTCTAACCATTGCTGGAGGAAGAAGGGTGGCCCAGAAAATAAGCAGGAGAATGTTTGTGGATGGTAATCTTCCGCTCTCTGGAAGGCACAGCATTCTAGGTAAGTCCCTGGTTATCTACGAGGATAGTGGTCCTAAAGCTAGAGGGGAGAGACTAGCCTGTTCGGCGGTTATTGGACATTTCCGTCGAAAAGTGGTGGCCAAGGAGTGGTATGCCAATGGAGATCCCCTGACTGTTAGTGGTAGGGTCGAGATAACCCAGCAATCGGAGTACGATGTTAGCAACGTCGAAGTGCAGCTGAAGGGATTGCAGGATAACACAGGATATCATATACATAGGGTAGGTATATTTGGAATTATCATAAAAATAAATATCATAAAATAAACCCAATTTCAGACCCCCGTGGAAGCCAATCTGGCTTTTCCCTGCGAAGCCTCCACTTTATATGGCCACTGGAATCCCTTCGATGTGAGTCCCAAATCAGCACCGCCTCCAAAAAGAGGAACCACCGATCAGTATGAGATGGGAGATCTGAGTGGAAAGTTTGGAGGCCTCGAGGGAGTCACGCAGTTCGAGGATGCCTACAATGATACGAATCTTCCGCTCTTCGGCTACAACAGCATCATTGGAAGATCTGTGGTCATTCAGAAGAGACAGAAGAATGCTCGATGGGCCTGCAGGTGGGCTATCCTTAGTTTTAAAAGATTTTCAATTATTTGAACCTCCATTTTTAGTACCCTTGAGCGAGGCTATAGTCCCAGTGAGGCCAGGGAACTCAGGGCCATTGCCTCGTTCCATCATCCCACTGGATATGCCTATGGTTATGTGAAGATGACGCAGTTAATCCACAATGATGGCAGTCAATCGGAGACGGTGATTGAGGTGAAGCTGCGGCATCCTGGTAAAAACGATAGGAACTCTACGAGAAACCACAACTGGCAGATCTTCGTAAATCCCGTGGGCGTGGATGCAGCCGTAAAACCCACAAACACACGCTGTGTGGCTGGAGGATATGTTTGGAATCCGTACTACACACAACTGGCAGATCCCTTGAATGTGGGTTTTGAATTAATATTTAAGGAATTTAAATCTCTTAATTGGAATATTTATTTTTTAGCTGGATCTCTATGAACAGGAGTGCAGTCCCGATAATCCTTTGCGTTGCTATGTAGGCGATGTTGGAGCTCGTTTGGGAACTATAGGTACGATATCTTAAATCATTTTATAACTACCTAGTTATAATTTATTAATAAATTATTATTTTAGATCTTGGAGGTGAACGCGTAGTCCTTACCGACTCTAATTTCCCCTTGGAGGCTCCTGTGGGAGCCATTGGACGTTCTATTGTGATCTTTGGACCCGATAATTCCCACGAGAGGTTCGCCTGTGCAAATATAGAACCCGATCACAATGTCATTAAATACATCAACCTGCAAAAGCCGCCCCGATTTGTAGTGTAAGTATAAATAAATATATTATATTCCTTAATTAATTAATCTCTATAAAATATATTATATAGTGCCCAGTTTCTGGAGGAGCTAAGAACCGTGATGGGCATTCCCGAGTGGATGTTGGATGTGGATGCTCGGAAGACCAAGGAACTTCATGGTGGCGCCTGCATCCAGATGATCATCCATTTCAAGGGACCTCTGGCCCACCGATTGGAGTTGGATATGTCCCGTTTGATAGCCGCTGGGAGATTGGATGCCCCTAGTCTGTTCATTCCAGGTTATGTGAACCAAAAGAGAAAGGCCACCATTTCTTATCGCACCTGTGGTGTGAGGGATACCAATGAGAAAAGTAAGTAGTCCTGATTCTAAGTCTCAAGAATCCTTAATAATCTACTATATCTTTTTTATAGGAACCAAGAACTTCAGGGGTAACTTTTATTCCTCAAACTCAGCTCCAACCGAACCAAAGCCTTTTGTATTAGCTTTCGTAGTCATTGGCTTAGTCTTTAAGTTCCTTTAAATCTTAAAAATAATGTTACTTTGTCAAATACTCAAATCGATTTTAAATATCAACGTAGTCACTAGCTTAGCATCTAGTTGTGTATAAATTCGAGGTTTTATTTTATTTTCTATTCCTGTAAATAATATTTATACATTTATCAAAAATAATTGTACAGTAATTATTATCAAAATTTACAAAGAAAATTGTTTAGGCTGTACAGTAACTAATATCAAAATTGTTGATTAATAGCTATTAAATGTAGTCATCTTACTGGACTCTAAAATTCCTATGCATATGTTTTCTAAATATGTTTAAACTGAAGGTACGTTACAAAAACATGTGGTGTTCAATGTGGTGGTGGATTTACTTTCTCAACATAACTCACAAGAACTGACTGGGAATTCGAGCATATTCCACCACCCATGGAGACCCGCCGCTTCTGGTTTATTTCTGCGCATGAGTCTTGCCCAATCGATTTTTCTGTATATACATACATCCCTCATTTCAATCGAGGGCAGAAAGTCTTTGGTGTTAGACGCACATTTACAGGCGACTCCAGAATGCAGCTGATTCTCGTTGCGACCCTGCTGTCCGTGGCATTCGGCAGCTGCAGTGCCTCCATAGCAGGACCCTTTATCTTCTGGGGTCACCAGAGGGTGACTGGCCTGCAATCCCAGGCTCTGGTGGACTCAAACAGCAGGGAATTGCCGCTGACGCAACTCTTCACGGAGGCCAAGGCGATTGTGGTCTTTGTGCGGAACTCGACCAATCGACTGGAGGGCATCAAGTATCCCAGGTTCCAGAATCTCGTCAAGAGTGGCGCTTGGACCTATCTGCCACAAAGGAGTCTCGCAGCGGAACCCTTTGGTCTCAATGCCAACATTGAGGTGAGTTGACATATATATAAAAAAACATAAATTTCTATGTATTCGAGAAAAGTTGATATGAAATTTAAAGTATAATTAGATATAAAACAAAATGGACTTTGGACCTCAAAAAATAATTTATAGAAAAGTTATTTATAAAAAAGATTATTAAATACATAGGCTTCTTAAAATACATTAAATAGGGAATTAAGAACAAATTTCTTCTATCACATCTTGTATCATTTCTCAGGTGGTAAGCCTCTCGGGACATGGAGAGGAGGATGACTCCGAGATCCTGTCGGCCTACAACGAAGCCTTGAACACCTACGGCAGAGGAGAAGTCCTGGGAATCCTGGCCAGTCGCGAAGAGGAGGCTCACTTCCTGGCCAAAAGGGAGGCTTCGCCGGCCGGCGAGGAGGAGGAGAAGGATAAGGATAAGGAGAAATCCAAGTCAGCTGAAGGCCCAGAGGAAACCGAGGCCAGTTTCATCTACGTGGCCGAGGGCAACAAGGCGGTGCTGAGTCTCAATGGACCCCTGGAACTGCGGCTGACCAATGACACGCTCAAACTGGAGGAGCACATCAAGCAGATCACCTTCGACGATCAGCGGGCCAAGGGATATGGTCGATTGAGCATCACCTTCATGCATTCGGGTGAAAAGTGCACGCTGCGCTTTAAGTTCTCTTTGATCCGGGGATCCTGGACGCTGAGGAATGTGGAGGTGGAGTACAGGGATCTCAAGAGTGTGCTGGTGGCCCGTGGTGATGAGTACACCCTGCCCAATGCTCCACTGGGCTTCTCCTATCGCTGCTCGGCGGAGAATGTGCACTTCCTGAACCCTCAGCGTAATGAGACTATTCAGGGTTTGATCCTCACCGATTTCCAAGTGCAACCCTGGCTAAATGGACGCCCGGAGTACGGGGAGGTCTACGATTGCGTGGGCTTCGTTTCGGCACCCATCCTCGCTGGACTCTTCGTGGTGACCCTGCTCCTGGGCATCTTGGGACTGGGAATCTCCGCCATGCTCAGCATGCATACGCCCAATCGATTCGAGAGTTCGCGCAGCAAGCAGTTGACCTTCACCATTCAGGAGTAGGAATCTCCAATGACCCCAGAGTTCTCCGTCGGCCATGTTCATCCAGATCACCTATGTGGCTTTCAAGCCCCTGGCTCTGTTCACCCTGGCCATCGAGCTCTTTCTCATCCATCTGCTGTTCGTGTTGATCGTGCTTTATGTGTATGTGCTATGGTATTACTGAAGAAAGTCAAAAAATTCGAAATGAACGATTTGAAATATATATCTGCAATGAAAGCCAATGACAGTGAAGTTTCTTTGAAAGTGGTTACAATGTGGAGTTAAAAGTAATATCGATATAAAAATAATATTTGTTATGAACAATATTAAATATGTCTGCCATGTAATTTTCTTTAATTGACGCTTAAGCAATTATATAAAATATTCAAATATTTATTGGGATTATTACAAACTATTTATAACAACAATTAACCTGGTATTAAAAAAAAAAAAAACAATAGGTAAATGAGATCTAAAAATAATAAAGCATGCCTTTACTTATTTCGGCTGTCTTTTAGAAACTGGAAAACACATTCGGGGTTTCGCCTTCCATAAATATGTTCCCAATACCTCCTTATCACATATTCATTTTTTACAACCGCCAGAGCCTCTCTCTTCGATCTCAAGCCAAAGTTCAATCCACAGGAAAAAGTGAAAAGCAATGAAATTCTGCACAGACTGCCAAAAAAGGATGAGAGGAGTCTGGGCTGGAAATTCTGGTTATCTCGTCGGTGGCGGCTCACTTTTGTTTTTACCCACATTTCCCTCGCCGGCGATCGCCAGCTCACTTTCATTGGATCCATCGGATTGGTCCCACAGTGGCCACAGAGTGCGCAATTAAGCCGCACTCAGCGATAGAGATGCGTGAGGGAGCTGCATTTGTGCACTGAAAAAAAAAACAAAAAAAGAAAATTGGATATCTAGGAGGTTGAATGGAATTATGGATGAAAGTAAATGTATTTCATCTGTAGTAAATGCTTATTATTTAAAAACAATATAACTGGGTAAGCTATTATTTACTAAAGATCTTATTTCTATATCTGACTCATGAATATTTTATTTAAAAGATAATGTTTTTTTTTTTAATATTATTTAAAAAAGTTATCTAAAACATTTCATTTAAAATTTAAATTTAAATTGGAATATTACTGCATTCAGACTTGGATCTGTATCTCGTGAACGAAATTTAATAAAATGATCACTTTCAAAATGAATTTCCCTGTGTGTAAGTATCTGTATCTTTGGCTGGACCCCAAACGAAAACCCGAACCAAGCCCAGTCTGGTAGTTGGAGGCTCGTTTATTTATGCATCATTAAGTCACGCCAATGGCTCGTTTGGGCCACTATTGGTTTATTTTGCGTGTGCGTTTGTCCGGCCAGTTTTTCGGTTCGATTTCGGTTTCTACGACTGACACTCGACACCCAACAGAAGACAGGAGACAGTGGACAGAAGACAGAAGACAGTCGCTGCTGGCTGTGGGCCACCCACTTTTCTCCACAGATTTCCCAAAAATATATGTGCATATAGCATCCCCTCTTCTCCCCCCCAAAAAAACTAAGATAGAGATGCAGATAAAGATAAAGATCGGGGCGACTTATTGTTGGGATCGGGAAGTGGGTCGCCTTCGATTGCGTTCACTTTTCCCGCGCGGATTTACTTTTACTGTCAACCGAACGTGCCCCAAGTTGCAAGTTGCAAGTGGCCAGTTCAGTGACTCAAAGAGAGAGTGAGAGTCCCGCACCTGATTCTGTAATAAGAATCGCGATCGCTGGCTAAAGTTTGTGAAAGTTGTTGTCAAACGGCTGGCCAAACCGAGCCAAGCCAAAGCGAACAAAATCGCCTGTCAAGGAGTCGCGCATTTCAGCCACATGATGGGATCCACCGAGGGGATGCACTGGGAAAAAACATGTTATATTAAGTTTGTCATGAAAAATGTATGGAAAAATGATGCGTAGGAAAAGGTACCCGAAAATGATGTCGATGTCTGTTTGACCGAATTATATCGAAAAACACATTTTTCCAATAATTTTCTATAAAAAAATCATTATTTTGTCTAAAAAAATTCAGGTAAATGTATTTGTACAATTTCTAGCTGATAATTCTTATAAATATATAAAGATATTTTACATATGCTAAGATTTTTAATTAAATACTTTCATGCTATTACAAAATTTATGAAATATATAGCATTTGAAAATAATTTAACATTTAAAAGGAGGATGTTATTCCATTATAGAAATTCTTATGTTAAGGCATATCCATTCCATTAATTTCCATTAATTTTAGAAATATTTATATGACACATTATTTCTTTCTCCACTGGAAAGAGTAACCGGTATTGCCTTTAAATCTCAGAAGGGGGCTAATTTCTCTTTCATTCTGCAGCCATCGAAGTGATGAGTGCGCTGTCCATTTGATTTAATTGCAAGTTGCAACCGCCGTAGAGGCTTTCCTCTTCGAGGGCCTTATATAAGAACTCAATCGGTAGGCTGAGGGTAAGGGTAGCCCAGATAATGCGGCATGAAATTGAATTATTTTCACGGAAGCTGAAAGGTGAGAGATTTGAGCCGCGGATGCACCACAATAGAGTGGCATTACGAGGGGGGTTTAATCAATTCAAAGGGCTTGGAGGCAACGGAAATGGGCTTTGTATCTGTATCTTTGTATCTGCGACGATTGCAGTGATGTTTATCTGCGAGATTCGTGCACTTGGCTTGATGAGGTAATGGAATTCATGAGGATTACGAGTACATCATGGATGGGATGATGATCAGTGGTCTGTCTGCGGGATGCACTCCAGTAGTTTCTCCTCCAGATTGACCAACTTCTCCTGTCTTCAAATATATGGTCATGGCTCAAAAAATCGGGCCAAGCGATCAATCCTAACGATCAATCCAGTCGCTGAAAGTTGCAGTCATCCCGAGTTTGCAGTTTCCAAGTGGCCATAACTAGTTGTGGGTCTCATAATTACTCCGCTCAATATTTGTGTTAAAGTTTTACGATTATTGCCACATTTTTCCAGCGAAAGAGAAATCGCCAATTGGCAGGATTGGCAGATGTCGCTGGTCTGCCGCGTTTCGTGGCATAAACAGTTGCCTCAAAAAGCTGACAAATAACTAATAGCAAATAGCAAAGAAAAGTGCGCAGGCGCACTCGAAATGAAATGGAAAAGCAAAGTACACAGTAATAAAATGTTTATTATATATATTTTTTTGATATTTGACATATCTAAAGATAAATTCGATGCGTACTATAAAGAACAAGATAAAAACTTTTAGAAAAGGAAAATCTTCTTCTAAAGAATTCACCTTCTCATTTTGTTGTTAATGTCTGGTTTTAAATATTTAAATTATTATTATTTATATCAAAAAGGGTATTTTTCAATATACCAATTTAATATTTTATTAACATTAATCTTATTATTTTGAGTGTGGCAAAAAAAAGACCTTAAATTGGCGACAATTCGCACATGAACATGAAGTGTGGCTCGTCGTACAGCGAACATTACCATTAGCCATTAACCAACAGGCGACGATTCAATGCGTTTAGTAAATCAAACCGTTAATTACTTGATTTGGTAAGCGGTTTCCCAATGCCTCTGTTTTTTCCCCACTTTTTTCCTGTTTTTTCTGTCCCCCATTTAAACAATTTCTCGCAAATATTTGCACACCTGTCTGCCGCGCACACAAAAGTGAAATGCGTTTAGAAAGGAAAAGGAAGATCTTTGGACCACTCGTTCCCCAGAAAATACAGATACAGATGGTTCGCTCCATTGCCGGAGACCTTGACTTATTAACACCCAATCTCAGAGACCTGGTATTTTGTTGGATTACGGCAGATAAGTATAAGTACCCAAGCTAACTCCGCCGAAGATGTACCAGTATTTTTATGACCGTGTCGCAAGCTTAACGCCCTGTTAAGCCGGCTAAATGCAAATGCGGCACATAGTGTGCCGCGAATAAATGGGCTCTATCCGTAGACCCCCTTGGAAAATACCCCTTTATAATACCACTCACCTTTGTGGGAGCTCGTTAATTGCTCCGCTTTGGTTACAGTTTGTGGAGCGTCTTCTTCCAATTGCGCGCAACACGTGAAGGTGGCGCAATTTTCGGTCCCTTGAAGAGGAGGGTTTTACATGGGGTCTTTGGTTTTGGCTTTGCTTTGGGCCACATGCATGCAGATAGACCGTTTGCCCCGAGGCCGAATCTTTTGGCCAAGGCGCTGGCAATGGGCTGCGCCAATCAGTTCCCGTCGATCTCTTCTCATTCTGGCTCATTTTCCCCCACACCGAAAACAATAAAAAAGTTATGACTTATGATAAATAATGCCATTTTTTAAATATTTTGCAGGGTAAATTTATAATGTTCCTAGAAAGTTGTAAATATATAGTTTTACTATTATTCTGTAAATAATGAAGTTCACATCCAAGAAAGATTTAATAAACTAATTAGATTTATTGTTATTTAATAATTTAGGAAACCAAAAAAAAACCAATAGGTATTTTTAAAGGACACATTTCAATATAAATTTAAGCCTATAGTAAGAGACATTCATTCAAAATCATTTTACAAATTATCAGCTTTTTCCCTGTGCATGCCAAGCTATGGGAGTTTGGAGTCAACACTTGCTCGCTTTTGTTTTTGAGCCAACATTTTTCACCGTTTGCCCGCTTGTGCCGGGGAAATTAATCCGCCTCTGGCATTGGGTAATTAAGCTAATTAGCTGAGACTGGGCTGAAACCCAAGCCAACGTGCAGCCCACCCAAAAGATATGCAAAAGTGAAGCAAAAAGATTTCTAACGCCTTTCCCACAGTTGCATCATCTGAAGTCGTAAAATCTATAGATTCTTATTTAGAAACTATGTTTCTTTTTGTAATTCAGCATCTGTAGAAAGCTCGTCTTTTATTCGATTTCCTCGCCAACTTGTTGCTGCCAAAACCGCACACACTAACCCAAATTCCACAATCCCAATACCATGATGCGGACTGCCCCCCGCGGAGGCGTCCATTATTGCAATTAAACTAACAATCGGTAAATGCTATTTGGTAAAATGGTAAAAGAGCAGCTGCATCTGCACCGGTGGCTTAGTTGCTTGGTGGCTCGGCGGCTTGCACTTTCCGAACGCTTTAACTTGGCCAAAAACAAACAAACATCGGCCATTAGTTGGCTCAATTCAAATCGTCGGGCGGAGGCCACAGCTGCCACTGTCGCTCGTTCACTGAAAAATACATTCATTGCTAACTTTACTAATAATTATAACAAATAATTAAAATATCTCATTTGTGGAATAGGTATTATTAAAAATGTTTCATATTTTTTGGACCATCACATACAAGATAAGTTTTT